AAAACTATGCTTTCATCTCCCCCTTGTGGTGAAACTGAGAAGTCTACAAAAACAGCCTCTAACAAAAATAAAGACTGACGCATTCTGTCACTCACATAGTTTACCAGAGTGACCACTGGTCGCCGTTCACTTCAGATGACATCATCTGTGATCACATGATGTATTGGCTTAAACCACATACACACCACTAATCCTGAGCAGCTGGCACCTGAAGGCCACAGGGTCAGGGGTTGTGGTGAAGTGTTTTAGTTTGGGGTACCGTCATGTATGTCCAGAGAACTCTTCTCTAATAAAAAAAAAAATCCACCAGATTCTGCCCAACCATCTACTCTGAAGAATGTCTCTGTGTTTGTGCATGTGAGCCAAAAACCCATGAGTCATCGGCGTGCTGCTGGATGCTGTTTCCAGCAGGACTGCTACCATGTGGAACAGACTGGGTTTTGTTTTGATCATTAGTACTAACCAGTCTCCAAAATACATGCAGAAAAAAAAGAACATGAACCTTTTCATGTCCAGGCTGTCACTGTTCCACTTCTTTACAGACGACGATTTTATGCAATATAAAGTTGTGTGACACACAGAGTGAAACACAATCTAATCTGAACTAGGATCACTTCTCTTTACTTGTCAAAATAAACAACAACCAGGCACCAAAGGTGTTGATGTGAAAAAGCGGTCGAGACGATGAAGGTTTAAAGTCTGCTCTAAAGTCATCGACCACATCTCTGATAATAATCTTGGCCCAGGTTGAACAGCAGGATACTGCAGAACAAAGCTGTGGGTTTTCCTGTTTTATTTCTACTTCCTTGTTGGCACAATGATAGCCATTGTACAGAATTATTAAAAAAACAAAAAAAAACAACAAAAAACAAAACAACAGTTTCAAAACATGTTCTGGAGATACTTCTGTTACATGACAAATATCTGGATGTTGAGATGTGTTCAGATTATAAATACCTAGTGTGCTCAGTGCTTAGTCTGCACTTTCACCTCTCAACAGAAGAAGTCGAAAAGGGAACTACAATATTTAAAATGTAAAAATACGCGAGGACTGACTGCACGAACGACAATGAATAAGGTGCAGAAAGTGGAACACTACTGCACTGCTAAAGTTACAGCTAAAATAATAAAACCTTTGTTTAAAAAAAGTGAAAGATATTTTATGACTGAACATGGCTAAGAAATAACTAATGGAAAATACGAAATAATAGTTAAAACATTTAAAAACATTTATTTTTTTAAATTGTTTTCTTTAATGTTAATTAAAGAAAAAAAAATCACCAGGTAATTTAAAAAAATGTTTGTAATAGCTATATTTTAGCGTTAGTAAAGGAATAATAATAATAATAATAATAATTATTATTATTATTGATAATAACAGTCATTTGACAAATAAAAAAGAAGAAATATCAGTCTGACGTGAAAGAGCTGTAAATGTGAGATTTTTTCCCCACTCACCTCTCCTGGTTCGTGAGAAGAGTTTGATGCTCACAGGTGAGGAGCTGGTCGGCGAGCGGAAGATCCCGCCGAGGCTTAGTCTGCGGGAGGATTTGGGTGAGGTGCTCTGTGGGGAGGGGTAAGGAAAGATGCTTTTGGGTGAGGTCATCTTTGACTGCACCGGAGCAGACTGTGGACATGGTGGCAGTGGTGTGCTGACTGGACTCTTCACTGCTGTGCTGGGGCTTGGTGTCAGGATCAGGCGCTCCCCCTGAGAGACAGACAGGACGCAGCAATGTTTATTTGTTCTCGACTGCACGTTTGCTCCATTGTCCTACTGTTATTTAACTTAGATGCAAGAAAACAAAACCTAAAACAGTGGATAAACTGTTGTACAGAACAAAAACCATGAACTCCTAAGACATTTATTATGAAATGCTGATTGCTCTGATTTTAAAGAGGAACTTCACGCTTCTCCTTTTCGACTTTTTGGACAATCTGTTGCTAACTTTAGAGAGTCGTATGAGCACACATGAACACACTGGCTGCTGTTGATGCTCTTGTGAGGTCCCGGCATCCTCGTGTTGAGCATCTTCGAGTTTGGAGAAATAATCGGTATTGTATGTATGTATGTATGTATGTGTACTGTCTGAACCTGGAGGCAAAGTCCAAAAAAAGACTCATGACATGGTGTATTCTTATTTGCCAAAAAAAGAAGACAGATAAGAGATAAAACTCAGACGGACAAACAATGCCGTCTGACTCCTTTTTGACATCGTTTTGACCCGCTCTACAGACCAATCAAAATATTGTGAAGAAATATTTTCTTTGCGTTCGTCGCAAACACCAGAAGGAGACACAACTGTGCTGCATTTAGGTTCAATATTAACCTATTTATTATTTTATCTCAGCGATAGCGATGTTGTTATGACTGTTGTCATTAAGCACTGTAACCTTCCATTGATAGTAGGTTTTAGTAACAAGAGATTACTGCTATTTAACTGGTGTCTAAACCACGACACATTCACTTACAGAGAACTTAAATTCAACATGTTACAAACACAATACTTTGAGGTGAACAAAACTGGACCAGAGAAGAAGGAGAGAAAATGTGTAACATTTCAATGGGAGGGTAAGAATTTAACAGATGGTTTCCTTCAGCCTGGTATCACCTGCTCTGGCTGCAGGTGGTGATGTTTTGGTTTGGGAACATTTTTTGGCACACATTTTTTGGCTCCCTAGTGCTAACTGAGCATTGTTGAAATGCCACTGCCTGGCTGAAAAGTACTGCGTCAGCCAATGGCTATCCACTCCCAACTATGATTTTGGTGTGATGTGATGACTTCATTTGCAGGAATTGACTTAAAACACAAAAGTTAAACCTTTATTTACTGGATTATTGGATGATGTCATGGTATTTTTATGGCCACACAGAGTGATGTAGAGATACTGGACGTCTGAATGATGGAGGAGTCCTTCATCAGTATGAACAAATCTATGCAAAATATTCCTATGCCATATTGTTAAATCAAGATTGTAGCTACTTACAGAAGGAAAACTGAAACGGCTGGTACTACCACACTAATGACGTGGCTTTTTTCACTGTGATCACAAGGTCTGCTTCATGTAAATAGACTGTGTAGAGAGAGCAGACAACCTCGCTGGAGACACTGGAGCCTCCTCCCACCACCGATTGCTGCAAGCTCTGAATCCGTTGACAACAAATCCTTTAACTATTTGTTGGCTTCAGTGCAGCGAAGAATTAGAGGTGGACGTCTGTGTCTATGAGCCCGAACCAGGCTGTTCCACACACCAGTAAAACTATTTAGATTCACAGCAGGTCAGTGCAGGTCAGCTGGACACCTCTACAGCAGAAGAAGGTGGACTGTTAGGATATCTGTGATCACTCACAGCAGACCTTGTCCTACTTCTGTCTCTATGAATGCGCTCAGGGCATCTGAGTGTTATGGCTAGGTTTACCGGCTGTTATTGATTCTCTCTAACTGTTTGTCCTGGGTCTGTGAAGAATTTTCAACAAGCAAATTCCAGGTAAAGCAACAACAAAAAAGCTAAAAACTACTCTCCTGATAAAAGTGGCCTTTTTTTTTATTTTTATTTTACTGTTGAGAAAACACTCACAGCCTGAGACGCTTCGGTGATCTCGACCTCAGGGGTCATAAATACCAGGAATAGAAAAATGTCACACAGTAGGTAGAAAATCTTGTGCATAGAGTAATTTTTTTTTTGAGGATAAAGATAATTCTTATTAGAAAAGTGATCAAAAACATCATACAAATACCGCATCTCATTTCAAATGTAAAGTGATAAATGACTTATAATAAATACTATAACAACAAATACAGCTTAGAATATTTGATTTGTTTGTCTCTTAAATAATTATTATATTAATATAAATCATGTGATCACGTTCTCTGATATAATTTGGCCCATGATGACATTTGTGTTAAAATGTGATGTGCTGAACATGGACTGTACCTTTACCTTTAAGATTGACAAATATCTCTGATAATAATTGAGTGACGTCAACACATCTAAAAACAGGTAGGACCGATCTGTTTGCCTCTGCATATCTTTTTTTTTTTTAACCAATCCTCTGACAACAAATCTGAGAGAGCACACACCCAACCCCCCTCTGTTTGCCAACTACTTCAACTCTGTCATTTTGCAAGAGCTTGCAACAGCACGTGAAGTAGCTATTGACTCTGTCAGCCAATCAACTGCCTCTTTCATTTTGTATTTATCCTTATTGCACAACATGGCCTGGGTGTGCAGCCTACTGTAGATGACACATGGTGAGCTACAGATGAAGGAACAACCCTGTTCAGATCAACACGTGTTGAAAAAGAAATCTCTGTTTTTCCTTTAGAAAAATACATTTCCTGTAAATGTGCTCTGACTGTGGAGCCGACCTTCACTTCAAGGCGGTGAAGGTTGACAGAGGACGGCCTTGTGTAAGATTTTGTTCTTTATGCCACGTCTAAAGGAACCCAAAGCCAAACAAACGGAGCCAAAGGGACAAGATAAGTCATGTGTGGGAAGAAAACAAACCAATGGCAAAATATTAATTCTGTTACCGTCTGAGAGGCACTCTTGGATGAGACGCTCCTCTCCACTTGTGGGGAAGTAAATGCGCCGAAGTCCTGCGAAGGAATAACAACAACCAGGTGTCAAGGATAGAGATTAGGAGCAGAAAAATAAAAACGACAAGACATAACAGGTTAACAGGCACCGTCATTACAAGGTTGGGTTTTTTTTTTTTTAAATGAAGATTCAATAATGATCTTTATTTAAGAGAGTGATGTGATCACAGAACAACTTGGATCAGTTCACCCTGACAATCACAAAGGGAGATAAACATGTTACACCGCAGCAGGAGACAGCCTATCAAACACTCCTTCTTCATACCAAGGGCTGGGCTGCTGTGGTTTACACGGATGATAATGCATGCTGCAGCACAAATGCAGCTCCATTACACTGATTAGATAGGTGGCCACGCAAACCTGTTCTGTAGTCATTGACCCACATTAGGTTTGGAGAGGCTGAAGTTCTGGTTGACAACTTCAGCACTTTAATATTGACTCAAAACTTTTTTTTAAACAAATTTATTGGTGCAAACTTTTAATTTTGTATTACAAACCTCAGGGATTGTATCATTAGATTTCATAGGTTAGCACTACTGGAACAACACAGAACCATTCTATAAAATCACTGTAGTATTCAGCTGGAAGAACAACATTACATAATGTATTATGACTCGTGTCTGTCATAGACATTAACATAAATATCAGAACTAGCTCCTAATATCTAACAGCACTAACAGCGGCCTGCATGGTATAGGTCAGACATGCTCCCATAAGCAACGACATCATTAGTCTGTGAGCCCTGTCTTGACCTAAAGTGTTCTTATCATGTGAATATTTTACCATAACTGTATATCCGGAGGATCCAGACAGCAGCAGTATTTTTAGTCAAATCTGCAGTGACACTCCCTGAATTGATTTTGAATATCTGATTAACATCCTGGTCCACTGCACAAAACTAATGGTTAACAATAGACAAATCTGGTTTGTGGTCCGATGACGGAGCTTGGACAAGTTTTTTAAATGTGTAATATTTATGTTCTGGCAGTAGCTAATAATAATTCCTCCCCTGAGATAGACAGTAGCTATTGCACAACTGCCTGTTTATACAGAAGATTCGTTCAACTGCCTAGATAACAACTGACCTCCAGCCTACTCCAGTTCTTCACTTCTTTAGAGTCAAGTATTTGTGATTTTTCCCTGAAAGACTTGGAATCTTCAGCAACACTGATCGGCCTGCGATTATGCTGTAATTGGACAAAGATAATTGTCGCGTACTAAATACATTAAATATAATTACATCAAGGTGGAGCAGTTCGCCCTCGGTTTTTTGTTTTGTTTTTTTGTTTGTGTTTTTTTTTTTTTTTTGCATCCGCGGATGAGTATGTTGCATAAAGTGAAAAAGAAAATTTGCACAAAATATATTTAGTGATAAAGTTCGACAATAACTGACTGATATTGTGGTAGAAACGGATTCAGGTCATGCTGCAGAGACAGCTGTCAATCACGGAGGCTCGACACGTCACGTGTGCGCACACACACGCAACAACGACAAAAAAAAAAAAACTTTAAAAAAAGTAAACATCGTGCTATAAAAAATAACGCATAAGGTGTTGTGAAACGTCACGCCAACAAGAAGACCAATGATCTGATACTTCACCGACTCACTGGCATGTTAATCCGCAGACTTCTCCGCTTCTTTGGCATTTTCTTGGAGCCCTGTTTGCTGGACTCCATCACCGTGCTCCCCATGTTTCTTTATGCAAAAGTCGCTGCAACAAAACTAATACCCGCGGTTGATAAAAAACCCAAAATAAAATACTTGAGCTGCACCGAGACTTAAGAGCACCGACCGCTGCCTCCACCTTGCCTCTCCTGCTGCCCCTTCACTTACTACGACAACACTGAGGAGCTGCTTCATCCACCAGGAAGTAGACGCACAAACAGAGGCAGGGCACAGCACGCATCTCCAGCCCCAGTGTTTACAGGTGCTGAGTCATAATCTGCACCCGAGACTAATACATATCCCCTCAGCCTCAGCCTCAGCCTGCAGCGCACAGCGACGTTGCTTTCAGCCCAGTGCGATGTGGATTTCGTTGAAACAGTGACACGATTGTTTACTCGGTTGCTGCAGAGGTGATAACTACCTTTCCTCCGCCTCCATATTTAAGTTCGTTTGTTTGTTTACGTTTGTGTAATCAGGCAAGACCGAGGGCACACGAGCCAGAACCAATGTTTTTGCATGGACGACCGCATTTTGCGTAACACCATGTGTGTGTTTTCTTTTTTTTTGGACTGATTTTCATAAAAACACGCAGGTTTGAGTTGCTGCTCTTATATGGACTCTCTGACAAGACAAAACGCACTCAACTTAATGTTTTGCCCAAATGTTTTTTAATCCTGCAATTTTCATATTTAAAAAATAGAAAAACTGCAATCCTAGTCGTCAGCTGTGAGTCATTTCTGCTGAATCACAGACTGCTGTCACTGTTTTCCTCCAAAACCCAGTCTTTTTGGAAACTCTCCAGTTTCGTCTATCACTGGTTTGGACCCTGGTCTTGATTTGCTGCAGAGTTTATACTAATTTTACAGCAGAAAGGCCAATTCCATTTACTTTGACCTCCTGCTCATTAGTTTCAATTTAAGTCAACTAAAGTTCAGGATATAAAGACATGTGAACACATGTCATTTTGCAAAATAATAGGATTGTGCAATGTGAAGAAATAGATGTGCCAGGGAAAGCAGAGGTCAGACGATGAACGCCGTTTATCATTCTGTCACATGATGGTCAGTTATTACAGGAGGAAATGTTAGTGGCTGCAGAGTGTTTAGGATTCACTCTTGAAAACGTCTTATAATCTTCACCATTCTCTTGACCTTTTCCTGTATGCACCGGATCATCACCAAATCATTAGACTAGTCTAATTATCACAGGTGTAGTTATTCTACGCCTGCAGCCCCACGGTCCGTTCCTGTGCAGGCGTCTGGGCACGGTACTTTCTGGACTGTTTATTTCCAGACTGGACTTAAATCACTATAATCTTTGTAGTCATTTTAGGATCCTTCAGCATGAAATCCTTAATTTTCAGCCTCATCAGCTCTGACATGAAGGCGTAGTGTAAAATACTTGTATACTACTTGGTCACTGTCCCAGGACTGTGTCTGTAATTTCACATCATAATCCCAGATAAGAACCTAGATTAACTGACTCACCATGTAGATTAGTGGTACCAGTGAGCTGGGGAACACGCTGATGTCACACAATCTGAAGGATCATATCCATGTTTGCATACAAATATATAACTAAACCCAGCCCCCCCTCAAAAAAAAAAAGAAAAAAGAAGCTACTTCTGTTTTTAGCTCTTAAATCTTACAGCCAACATTGTATTATTCTCTATATCTTCTGTACTGTATTTAATGGAAAGCAAATAACCTGCTAACATGTAAAATAGTTTATTTTTGTAAATGTTTCTAAATTCAATTCCACAAACTCCATAGTCTGTACACTTCAAAAGGCATTTTCAAAAAAAGGACAAAAAAAGGAAGAAAAAAAAAACCCAAAACGAAACAAAAAAACAAATCAACTACTTTACACGACCAAGAAAATGTAGCACAAACACACTGGCAGAATGATGTCATATTATACAAGAGAAGAAAAAAAAATATCAAGAAACAATTTTGTTACAACCATTCATTGAGAAAATATATACAATTGAGTTTTTTTTTTCGGAAAGTTAAAAAAATACATGCCATATACATTAAAAGTTCTAAGACTGTCTCCAAAAAGTTTTACAGTCGACTTGAAATTGTGCACGTGACAACTCCTCCGTTTCTCGGCTTGTGACTTGTGAGGTGTCAGTATAAGAAATATTTTTGATTAAGGAAAACGCCGTTACTGTCCACAAAAGTTAGAACGACCCATGATTCAAAATGAAGATCCGCCCCATTCTTTCTGTCACACATCAGTTTGTCTAATTCCATTAGACGTAAAAAGGAAAACAGATAAACACGTGTCGGTGTTTATAGTTGTGGTAAAAAGTTAAAAAGTCATTTTTTTGGGTTTCAAAACCAAATTCACAGTTCATTAAAATTAAACCTGATTAACAGCAATTAGATCACGAGGACCTCTTACTTCGTTTGTCTTGATTCTGTAACTGACAACGTGTTACATTGTTCAACAAAAATATTACTTTTTTTGAGTGGTCAAAGTGTGTGTAAGTCACAAAACAATACGCTACAATACCTTACTTTTAATACAACAAAAATACTTTGTGAATTATTGTGGTTATATTACAAATTCTGTACAGAATAGTCATAATATATACTCTCAAACTGAAATAACATCCATCTTAAATAAATTTCATTGACAAACAGAACAGAAACAAATTGAGAAACACCCAAACATCAAGGTTAAGGTAGTATTTGGTCGGTTATTCCTATAGTTATTCTTTATGTACATTTATTTTTACAAAAGTAACAGCATGTCTTATTCAGTCTTCAAAAAAACAAACAAACAAACAAAAAAAAACACAAACAACAGCGATCTCGCCTTCTTCAATGCAATCTCATCACTTTGAGAATAAAATTCATTCACTCGGTAATAAATACAAACCTCTCAAATTCCACACAAATCACATGACTGAGACCTATGATAAAACTGACTCATGGAATCAAGTATTTTTTTTAAAGTTTGTGTGTACGTGTGTGTTGTTTTTTGTTTATTTTCTATTTTTTTAGTGCAAGTTAATATTTCCCTTCGCAGTATTTGTTGCTGTACATTCCTCATTCAGTGATGTCTACGTTTAGTCGTACGGTATACACGGACAAAAGGGCCTGCCCTTAGTATGCAATAAGGCTGCACCCTGCACAGTGCTTTCTCATTCGCTGGTGGATTCCGCACCGTATGTACACCCAACACACACTCACATACACTCACATACAGATACACATACTCACACACAGACACACACACACAAAGACAGGGGCATCTCATACAACAGACCCCCCCCTCCTTCACCCTCACATATGGCACAAGTCACATCCTGCTACTGTGTTAACGTTTTCCCTTCCTCCTTCCTCCACCCTCCGGTTCTTAATGAACCAACATCTAAAATCATTAACGTCCTCCATAGGTTCAGGCCGTCTGCTCGTTCAGTACAATGACTTTAGTGTGAAGAGTGTCTCTGTGCAGAAATCACAGCATCCACGCACTATGAAAACGGAATGCATTAAGCTTTGACGTCATCCTCAGTTGATCCACTTCCTGCATTCAGGAGCTCCACAGTGGCAGGAGATCTTGTGCTGACCCTCCGCTCTGTCAAACTTGTAGTCGAAGCACAGCATACTCATGAGGAGAGAGAGAGAGAGAGAGAGAGAGAGTCTTTAAAAGGAGAATTTTCACTCTTCAAAACGGGCATATTTTGCAGGAGCACCAAAAGAAAACTCACCTCCTCTCCTTTTTCTAATCTGCGTATGCAGCTGATGATGATTTTGTAACCCCGTTCAAATGTTACCACCTCAGCAACACAGTTTGGGGCACAAGAGTGGTTGATGTATCTGTGAGAGAGAAAATGAAAATGTATTCCATGTTACACTATGGCTGTGAATAATGGAGATTGTAATTAATTATAATGAATTGTGATAAATCCACACTATATTGCCAAGATAAAAAATTAATGGTACATGCAGTATTAAACTAACATGACCACAGGTTAACCACAAAGAATCCAACTCTACCTTGCAAGCCCTCCAGTCCGAGTGGCATCAACGACATGCTCACTGTCGATGCGGAACATAAAAACTTCCCGGTTCTGAGAAGATAAAAGTTACTTGTCAACCACTGTTAACATGAAAGAAAAAAAAAGTATGGTGTAGAAAAATAATTTTGATTACAAATTACACAAACCTGAGATCTATAGATCTCCATCTTCCTCTTGGCAACCTCGTTTCGAAGGATGGTTCCGTTGTACTCAATCACCATAGTTTGTTTTTCAATGTCTCTGGCAGAAAACAGTCCCAGGCCCTGGGAATATATTTCATGTATCGTTTACTTTCACGCCTACAGTTGATGTCCAACATCCTTTTCAGTCCTTTAGCCCAAATCTCACCTGGATGCGGGAGCGGCCCACGTAAATGTTTGCTCTCCACTCACTCTTCATCCAACGGTACTGAGAAGACCTGGGGTGCACTACAGGAGGCTTATTGTGGGGGGCGCCAGTTTCTCCTTGGGCCACATTCTGGTTGGACCTGGCGTTGCTGGTGGATACAGCCTGTGGTTGTGGCCTTTATTTTGAAAGAAAAAAAAAGTATTTGAATTAACAATAACCTGCACTAAAACCTAAAACAGAAAATCATTATAAAGAATTTCAACAGTACCTCAGGACCAGGGTAGTGTAGGGAGAACCGATCTTTGGCTGGGCACGGGCGCTGCCAGCTGGATTGAACACGAGAGGCAACTCTACAAGAGGGTTACGTCCATAACGGAATGAGTACCTGTCACAGGCCTCCACTCCTGGCAGCTGATATAAAAAAGTAAGACGGTAAAGTTAAGTCCATGGCACAGGATATGACTGGAGTAAAGTTTTAAATGATCCTTTGGTTTTAACAGTGAAAACTGCATTTTTCTATTGTGCACCATGAACATGAAACAATACAAATAAGAAACCTTTATATCTAGTAGTAACTTTAAGGGCATCATTTGATGTGTTATTTTTGTTTGAATAATATTTATTTGTGTTCTCTTGGGTTCTACTGATTGGCTGCTGCCTTTGGCCAGGTCTCTGTTGTAAAACGTATTATTAATCTGTACGGGACTTTCCTGGTTAAAATAAATAAAACAAATATACGGTGATAACTGTCCAGTGGTGGACAGCAGCTACAGACCGATTCAGTGATCTTGGTGACGGCCGGGACTGTGAGCCCAAACAGGTCCTCTCCTTTCAGGTAAATGGGAAACAGCTTCAGAGTGCCCAACTCGGTTCGTTTCTCTGCTACTGGTCCCAGAACTTTATCCCACACGCCTGAACATAACAAAGCAAGCAAACATAACGAGTAGAACTGTTAAAAACATCTTGAAGACATGATTCTTAAACAACTTTGTGTCAAGAATGAGTAAGGACAAACCTTTAACGGAGGTGTCAGTCAGGACCAGGTCTTGGTAGCCTTGTTCGATGACTCTGATGGTAAACTCTGGCAATTCTTCCTTCTCTTCCACAGAACAGATGTACCGGCAACGGCGGTTTCCGTGGCGCATGCTCCAATAAATGCGACAAGCCTCGTAGCCGATGGGAAAAATGGCAGACGGCGAATGGAAAGAAGACATTTGGAAAGGAGTGAGCTGCCCGATTGCATGGAGCACTAGGCTTCCAACTCGAAAGGTGTAGCCCAGCTCAGGGTGCTGCACTGCGGTGGAGATCTGACGCACTTCGTCTCTTTGGATGTAGACCCGGCGAAAGACTGCGAAACAACGCAGCTCATGCTCCAGAGCTTGTCCTGCCGTTCCCCGAGGTCTGTGGGCGTGGCAGAGCATGGTCTTGTCTTTGAAGAAGGTGCACTGAGCTTGGAGAGCACAGGTGAAATGGTAGACGTTGGTGCAGCGTAGGCGGTGGCAGCCGCTGGTGGCTCCAGTCTGTTGACAGAAGGCACAGCGTACCGTCTGACCTCGGCGCAGCGCGAGCTCCACGTTGATGAGCGCGCCGGCTTGAGTTTCATACACTTCAGTTGACCACAGGGCACAGTTTAGATGGACCCACACATCAAGGTCCAAATTCAGCAGTCGAGCAGGGCCGTCTGTGAGCCCGTCACCAAACTGATGGCAGAAGCAGCAACGTCTGTGGTCACGCAGAGAGGCGGGAGGACGCAGCGAGGCCCCGAGTTTCCTAAGGAGTTCGTCAATTTTGTCCTCATCTGGCAGTTGTGAATTTCCTCTTGGCACCACAATCTGGATGGTCCACTTCCTCCAGCGAAGTCCCTTCTGTCGCTTTCCCTGGCTCCAGCCGTCATGGGACCTCGGCCGGGCTTTCAGCTTCACTGTCACTTTGATGGCATCGGACTTTGTCTCCATCTTTGGTGTTTCGCCTACTGTTGGGAAGGGTATGGGGGGAGTGGAAGGAGGAGACTGCTTGGGCTGAAGCTGGGCCAAACAGTGGACATCCAATGATGACATGTTGTTACTGTACTGATGCTGAGCTTTGGACAAGTTCTCAGTTTGCCCTGAGGCGGAGAGGAGTGACACTGTTTCCTGAAATCCACAGAAAAATGGCCATCAGCAAAACAAATGTAGAGGTGTGGTTTAATTTTCGAGGTTCTGTATACGCTGTGGTTTTAATATCAAAATGTATACTGATATTTACTGCGATCATACTTATGTTAGTGAAAATTCACCTTATTTTCTGAGGCAGGTTTAGGCTGCAGCAGTGATGAGGAACAATAAAGGAGGAAGCAGCTCTGACTGCAGAAAACCAGATCTTCGTCAGATTTAAATCGACCATCAGAAACCTGCAGAGAGAAACCACAGTAAGTCCCAACATTATTCAGAAAACAAAGGGTCAAAGAGAAGATGACAAGCCCAGCGATGAGTATTTCAATTTTTACAAATCTGGCAAGATGTTCATTAACAAAACAATGCAGAATTGAGATCAATGGTTACCACCACTGTTCCCAATAAAGACATCTGGATACAGCAAAAAATTGGACACACGAGTAACCACTTCCCCTTATTTATAAACACATACGTAGCAAGCACATTTTAAGTGAGCTCCAATTAACTAGATCCTGATTTGATTACAGTTGATTAGGCTGATTTGCTCTACAGTATTACCCATGATGCTGTATTATCCATGACAATTCTGTGGAAATGACTGGCACATCCAGCCTAATGAAGGCAGGAAAGATAGCACACAAGTGACAGTGCACTAGGAAAGTGACATTAAAGTATGGTTGAAATACCAAGAAGCAGCTATAAAAAGATTCTTCGGTGGAATCCAGCGCTAAAATAAGCCTCGATGTCAGCAGTTTGGCACAGTACTGCATAAAACTTCCTGCCTCCTTCTCCCAGCACTTCTGCCATGCACACAAACGCTCACTCAGCCAGGTCTGGCAGTACTGCTTGCCAGAAGAATATCTTTTTACTTTGCATCATCAATCATGAGAGTAAATATCTAGACAATCTGACGTCACATGTAAACTGCACATGGGCCATTTGGACCAACATTTTTAGAACTGATATTTATCATTGAAAACAAGGGGCATGTTCACAGAGAAGGCTAAAAACATCTTACCTTCAGGTGTGAAGGTATATCTTTGATGGACTTCTGCACACCATTTCCCAGAACCACCACCTTACAATGGCAGCACCACTGTGGTCTGCATCCAGGGCTGGCAGGGGGCTTCTGATCAGGTCCTCGAGCCGCAGCAACTCCTAATGAAACACACACATCATGGTTTAAAAAAAAAAATCTAAAGTTTGGTTTATCTTTGACTTTAAACATCGTTTAACCTTATTTTAGATTATTTTCAGCACTGTTTATTGTAGAAAATGCAAAGCTAAGGGATGCTATGATGAATAAGGTTCTTACAAATAAATACATAATATCATAAATGAAAAGTTTCTGCTCTATTCACGATAAGTTATTACTAGTGTAGAGTTTTAACGAGACATGACATTTAAATCCACTGATTAAAATCCTCACCTGGACTGTTGGTATAAAAGCGGAAATGATGTCCCTGCTGTTGTTGCATCATCGCCTGTGCTCGGCTGGGTCTGACCATATGACCCGGCCGCCCGTGAAACCCTCCATTGTCGCCTTGTCCGTGGAACAACATCGCCGGCCGAGGCTCCATGCCATGAGGAGCCGCTCTTGGACTGCTGTGCATAGATAGAGGGCCCCTGTCTGGAGTGCTGCTGACCTCATAACTGCTCGGAATCTTCACACCCAGTAGGTCTGATATAGCAGTGACGACTCCTGTGATGTTCTGAGGAAAAGAAAAAAAAAAAACACTTCAGGTAAACAGGTTTTAATTAAATATATGAGTCTCTTATCTCACTGGTTAATGTTTCTGTTCTTACCTCGGCTGCAGCTGGTCTCAGTGTGATAGCTACAGACACCAGCCTTTGTTTGGAGTCATTAGACGCAGGGTCAAAGGGGGAGCCAAAGAACACTGCAGATGGTTCACTCTTGATATCTTGCAGTTTGATCTTTGTGGCTTAAGGACAAATAAAAATGATTATGTTAAACATGGTTGATTTTTAATGATTGTGAAACAATGGATTTCAAGTGGATAAACAAAAATGACTGTATATTTACTAGGGCTGTCAAACACTAATCTGATTAATTCTAGGGTAGCTGTGGATTTGTCCCGGATAATCAGGGTTAAGTGAGATATTTAAAGGTAATATTTACCTTTGCCAACAGGTGGTGGAAGCATGGGGAGGATAGGGGATATGCAGGGAGACAATGGCTCATCCTTCACTAGAGAAAGGTCCGGGTAGCGACTGATCTCTCCACCAACCACACTCTCCGGAGACGACGATGGAACAAAACTGTCGGGTGTGTCCCTGTCTTTGCACGACTCCTGTACTCTGTTACTACTGATCAAAACATCATAATCAAGAACATTTAAATAAATAGAAAAAGCCACAGTAGTTGCAATAGTTCAGTGGAAGAATTAGTACAATCTCTCCAGTACCTGAGCTCCTCCTGGTTGTTGTGTGGAGGAGTAGGAAGAGAGGCAGGAACATCCACCGTTTTAGGTCCCTGAGCGATTGCTCTTGCTAGCAGGTCTTCTTCAGTCCTGAATGGGACGTGGAGCGGCTTTGGTACCAAGCCTTTGGAGACTGAAGAAAAAAAACGCAAAATGTGATTACTGGCTAATTTGACAAAAATATAAGTGAAACAAAATACTTTTTTAGCTACACAAACGAAATAGATTTTCTAAATGTAACAATGATACTTGTTGTCCATTAAAATTAGCAGGTATATCAGCATATTTTACAGTTGGTAGTTAAACATTTTAAGCTCTACCTGAACCAAAACAGGACACTTTTTATATTATTATATAACTGCATAGTTATATTATTATATAACTGCAATTTAACAAGTGATTCACTGGAGACGTAATCATGATTTCAGCTTTACATTATAAACAATCAACAAAAATACTGAGCTTAAAGGCTATCCCTAATATTTATTTCATATGGAATCAAATCTGTTTCATATGGAATCACATCTGTTTCATATGGAATCACATCAGTTTCTAAAGCTCTAATTTTGCATCTTTGACTTCACACAATGACTATTGATTCGTATCAGCTGATAGTTACACCCTAAACTTTACCCATGGCTGCAGCTTTGCTGGCGAGTTCTTCTGTTGTGGCAAATCCGTTGATCATTTTCTGGCGGTTTACAGGTGGTGGGGTGGGAGGAAGAGATGCCGGTGGTGTTGGTGGATTACTTAAGTTACTCTGCTGTGAGAATAAGCACAGTAACGACATCAGCAAACTTTGCTGTGGAAACTGCCAGATTGATGTCCACATAGTACAAAGTGTTAAAGTGGCCACTGATTCTACCTTGTAGGCAAGCTGGGAGTAATAGTCAGAGACTCCGTCCAGTGAAGCACTGCCAAATGTACCAGATAAGAGGTTTTCTCCGTTGAGCTGGCCACTGCCATAGGGAGCGAAATGTGCAAAGTTCACCCCAATCAGGGGCTCCATGAGAGGCAGCAGAGAGAGCTGCTGTATCAGGAGGGGAAAGGTAAAGAATATGGTTAGAAAGACATCTTGGTGCTAATGACTCCATACTAGTTACAACCACAAAAAAAGGTATATCAAATACATCTTAATACTTTAGGTTATCTGCTGTTACCATTGTAATAACTGTGGATACATTACTAACAGGACGTTTATCTCCAAGAGGTCTGATTTAGTAAAAATCATTTACTCTAGAAAATAAGTAAAGAATTAATTTTCACTCTCCTGCCAAACAACAACTCCTAATACTGTGTTGTAGTATTGCCATCCTGCTAGTAGCTGATTACAGCAGTGATATGTAAAATTAGCACCTGTTCACTGTGAAGTGATAATTCCGTTATCTGACAATAACAATAATCCAGGGCCACGCATTAGTGGTGTCAGAAATGCGAGTGATGAGAGCTATAAGAATTCTAACCTGTTTGATTTGGCTCATTACAGCGTCAGTGCTAGAGTGCAACAGTTGCCTTTCATCTCCTTCCTTCTTCCTCTTTTTGTATCGGGAAACAGGCTTCTCTCCTCCCTTCGGCACCCTCTTGTTCCTCCCTTTCTTTTTCTCCTGTTCAGGAAGCAGAGACCCAGGGAAGTCTGTGATACCGTCTGAGAAAGCCTGGAGATGAGAAAAGTGCTTTCACAAAGCTGGCGTGGCCAAACAAATAAATAATTGCTAAAGAAATTATAATTTATTGGAAATGAATGCAATACAAATTTGTGGTCAACTGGAAGTGACAATTCTTGCCTATTCCTAAAACAAAGACTTACCCCATTGCTGTCAATGGAGCTTTGCCTCAGCAGGGATTTACAGTCTGTAGACTCCTCCTCCTCTAAGCGAAGGCTCTCCTCTGACCTCTGCTGGGGCAGTGGAGGAGGGGTGCTCTTGTTCTTCAAGAGGTGTTTCAGTAGTTCATTGCCAGCCTCCCCCTTAGGACTTTGTCCTGCAGGGAAGGGGGATGTGCTGCCTTTACCGCCTTCTTCCTTTATGGAGCCCAATTCTGAGCTAACAGGTCCATGACACTCACTGGCTTCAGTCTGCTCCAGCTTTATGTTGTTGATGATCTGGTCGTGCTCCTGTGCCCTGGCTGATTCTGATGAGAGACCTGCTTGTCCTCCAGAAAGCTGTCTCTCCAGCTCTGAATGACTTGGGGTGGAGGATCCCAGTAAAGGTGACCTTGACAGGTCCTGTTCTCCAAAAAGATGGGTGTTTCTGGTTGGAGTTGAGGAAGTGTCTGAAACACATGGTGTGAGAGGAGCGGTCAGGTCAGAGTGTGGTGTTGAAGGGGTTTTGACAGAATCTGTATCGTCATCTTTCTTCTTTTTGCGACTCCTTTTTTTCTTCCCTTTTTCATCTGGAATGATGTTGGAGTAAAGCTGGATAAGAGACTGGCCTGAACCTGGAAAGTTAGACGGCAGATGTGTAGCAGCGTCAACAGGCAGACCTTCACCTGGCATCTGAAGCATTGGCCCTGGACCGCTGAACTGACGGGGCCTTGGATGACCCTGAGGAAATTTTGGTGCTTGATTTGCAAGATGATCCGGCCCAAAACCAGGGCCCATTTCTGGAGGCATCATTCCATTACCCATCAGTGCCCTTCTGTCACCTGGCATAAATGCACCAGGAGGCTGTGTGCCTTGCTGCTGAGGATACACAGGTCCCAGGGGTTGCTGTTGTAGAGGGGGCCTCTGGGGCTGCATGAAGTCTTGGGGCAGTTCTGTGTTATAAAAAGGCATTTGAGTGAGCGGTGCCATGTTTCCGTCGGGACCCATCATTCCTTGTTGCTCCATCTCCATACGGTGTTTCAAAGCTCTCTGTCTTTCAACCTCCTGCATCAGCTGCACCCTCTGTCTCTCCTGCTGCTCCCGGAGCCTCTCTCTCCTCTCCCGCTCCTGGAAACCCTCACTAAAAGGGTTGTTGTCATCAAACTTAACACCGCCTGGCTGCATGGGTTTTACACCACCTGTTGGAATCTGGGCTGCTTGGGGATCCATAGGCATCTGTGGGTGCTGAGGCATGTTACCCATTGACATCTGATGATGCTGACCTGGATTTCCCATAGGTACCTGCTGGGGCATCATCGGTGGCATGGCTGGTCCACCCATTGACATGGGGGCATTTGGATGCCAGCCAGGTGGTGGGTTAGGCATGCGTGGAGGTGCGTTTACTTGGCCGGGGTGAACTGGCATCTGCATCATGGGGTTCATGGGAGGCTGAACCATCGGTTGTCCACTGGGGCCCATGCTGCCATGACCTGGCATCGGGTGCATCCCAGGCATGATGGGAGTCATGTTGTTTTGTTGGTGTTTCACTCTGTACTCTTCTATGAGTTCAGCATGCTCCTTCTGCTGCTTACGAATCTGGGGGAAAGATGGTTCACATAGGAATGATGTTAAAATAATTAATACGTTTGTTGGTAGTGTAACTTTACAAAACATTCTTATATTCTTTGAGAAACAATTATCTTTTATAATGCTTATAATGCTAAAACTTAATAGCACTAGAGAAATTACAATGGTACATTCCATATAAAACACATGGGTTCAAACTCAGCTGATTTAATTGTCGCTGTAGCATAACAGGGTTTTATGTGTAAATTAATTAATTGACATGAATGCAAGTGCTTACTTAAAGAGGAGACAGTTTGGCGTCACCGATATGTTGACTAGTTTGCGGTAGCCAAATCGTTGCTGCAGTTAGTAAATAAAAAAACAAACCAGGATCCAGCACCCTGCTGTTTCCTATTGTTGTAGTGCAACACGGCTAGCTTTATTTGTGTAATTAAATTACCTTGAATTAATAATTTAAACATGCTTTTTCACATTAAAGATTTCTCTTCTTGCAATGCAAGAAGTTAATAGACCTAAGATAAAATAGACAGACGATAAAACATAGACAGTTTTCCTTTACGTCACCATAATCCAGTTATATATGCCATGGTTCTAATTAACCTGAAGCTTTTACCTCTGGCAGAGAGCTACATTTGGCCCAGAATAAATCCATCCTACAGTGGGACGTAAGATGGCTATTGTGTGGAAAATGTCTAGCTGCCATAAAATTCAGTGTTAGAGCCTGACAGGCCTCACATTTACCTGCTCCAGTTGTTTCTGCACTACACCCTGCTGCTCTGTGACATGTTTGAGCTGCTCAGCATCTTCCTCAGGGAACTCTCTGCCTGCTTTCTTAGCTGTTCTCTGCTTGGCAGAAAGAGCTTTTTTAGACTTTCTGTGAGCTCCAATCTTCTCTTCCAGAAACTTCTGCTGCATTTGAAGTAGCTGCTGAGTCTCCTGCAGCCACTCCTCGTACTGAGCTCTCTGATTATTGTCTGAAAAAAAGAAAATGGCTCGGTTGGTAACAATCTGAAGGAAAGCAAAACAACCTACATTGAACATTTAAAAACATTACTTACTGACAAATCCTGGTCCGAAATTTGGAGGACTGGGTCTAACGACTTGTGTCAGTTTTCCATCCTGCAAGCCAGATTGACATTGTCACATAAAGACTGTGTCACTGAGAAACTTCCTGACAGACAGACATTATACAAAAAGAGTGTTGGCTTTATTACCTGTCCCACAACTTGTGGAGGGATAGGTGTATTTTCAGGACTAGGTGGAACAGGGCCAGGAGGAAACCTGGGATGAAAATCACTTGGCATCATTACAGTATATTTTTTATATTTTATGCAATGTTGTGACATGTTACTATGTTGCTTGAATTAAGTATAATTTAATTATTTTTTCTTACTTGTTCATGACCATTGGAGGCATTCCCATGTTGTTCTGAACCATCACTTTGTTAATACCTTTTAGGGCAACCATTTTGGCTTTCATAATAGGGTCAGTGATGGCATCAAAATCTAAAAGTAAGACGTACAATCAGCATTTGTTCCAAAAAGAAAAGGGGAAATCTGGGAAATGCAGCAACAGGGCTTAAACACCTTACCTATATTAGGGAAGAAGGAGTCGTTGGATCGCTGTCGTATCATGGCCTGCATCTGTCTCTGCTGCTGCTGCTCCTGCCTCTCCTGGTCCAGAAGGTCCTGCAGTAACAGTGGTTGTTCCTCCAGCAAAAGCGGACGATGTGCTTGGCCCTGCTGACCCAATAGAGGGTTTAGCATTGTTTGCTGGGTCTGACCATTTGGGTCCATACCTGTGTTTAGCCCCATTTTTTCATCTGCTCCAAAGCCAGTCATAGAAGGATCACCTGTGGTGGTGTTGTCAGCTAATGTTTGTTGGCTCAATGCAAATCCAGAGTTCTGTTGAGTGTCAGGGACTGGATTCTGCTGAGACACGAGGGTCCCACCATGACTGACAGATTCCACAATTTGAGTTAATGACTGCTCTTCAGGCTGCTGCTTAATGAGTAAACTAGAAAGAACTGGGGAAGAGTCAGGGAGCTCTCCCTGCTGGTTTGTGGTTAAGGTGTTTTCAGCAGCTGGCTGCTCTGTCCCCTCTGGTGACCTTTCACTGTCTTTGACCTCTAATTTAATTTCTTTAACAAGAGCTACAGTAGCACAGTCCTGATCCCCCTGGACATTCTGATTAACATCATTTGTCGACTTCTCACCTGAAACCTCAGATTTTTCCTGTACTACTGTTGAACTAGATGAAGCTTGGGCTTCAGAGCTGGAGTTTTTGCTAATATCTGCAGTGTCTGTATTATCATCCATGGGGTCGCTGAGATCCAGTTCCTCATTAAACATATCTTTCTTGATGTCATCGAGGTCGGGGTCTGTATATGCAATAATGTCAAATTTCCCAGACGTCAGGAAGTCGTCAAGGTGTAAGTCATTGGTCTCCAAGTCTAGGTCTTTGCCATCTTCAGGATCCAAATTCAGGTTTTCCAAGTCAGCATCAACTAAATCTTTCACTTCCACATCCTCCAGATCTTTGACTGCAGACTCCTCTGGGTCCAGTTTTTCCTCCATAGCTTCATTGCCAGACACAGTCTCCGTTTGTCCAGCAGGAGGTGCCGTCAAAGTCATTGTTGCTGTCATGTGCTGAGTCTCATTTGAAGCAGGCTGGCTCATGGATCTCATGAAAAGAGACTGTCTGACTGCATTGGGTCCTGTCATTTGGGTTTGCGGACTGAGATTGTCCATGCTTGCAGACAGCTGCACCTGTGCAGTCTGGCTGGTCATGGGATTCAACATCCTGGGGCCTTGATGTAAAGGTAACCGCGAATCAGCTGCTCCAAAGAACCCTGCTGGTCTTTGAACCTGCAAGTTGGGATCACTTGCCTGCATAGCCATTGGTGGAAATGGCACCCGTGGCCTGTTCTCTGTAACTCTGTGGCGCAACTCAATGAAAGGCTGGCCCATTATGTTGTGCTGCTGCACAGGTAAACCACGAGGTGGGAAGTGTTGGGGCATACCCATGGGGTTGCCTGCCATATTTTTGGCCATTTCTGCAGACAGGGAGCGTCTCATTTGAGGAGGCACATCCTGCATCGGATGCTGACCCCGGGGAAAGAACTCTTCTGGTCCGTGTGGTCCCATACCCCCAGGTGGAAAAGCAAACCTAAAATACAATCAAACCAAAAATGAATTGTGTTTTCCCATTTCATCAGTGAAGAGTGATTAGTTATAGAAAATTGTATAATATAACACAAACCTTGGTCCCTGATGTCTCAGATTATGGTCGCCTGGATGTGGGCCTCGAAACATTTGCCCCTCATTAGGAAAAGAGACATGTTGGTCACCTGGAAATGGTCCAGGAAACCTCGTTTGTCCTTTCATGGGTACTTGTCCAGGATATGGAGGAGGAGGTCTGTTAAACATTTCGCCCTGGCCCTCCTGAGGCCAGGGTCGTGGTGCTTCTGGGTTAATGCTCCCCGTGTGCTCCTGGTGGCCTCTCTCCTGTCGAATTGCACTCCTCTGTTGCTGCTGCTTAAGGATAAGTTCTCTGATTCGTTGTCGCTAAAAACAAATAAACAAATAAAATGATTTATTGAGGCACAACAGCAATAGCAAATCTAACTGTTTCTGTATGCATTATTATTATTTTCTTTTCTACAAACTGTCCTTATGTTTGGGAAAGGAAAACATGTATCACAAAATAACTTAAATTATATTTTTATGTCCAAAGTAATTAATTGATTACTAATTAAGTGTGTCAATTCAATCACCATCACCATGTTTATAGGGCAGTAAATGAATATATATTATGGTTAAAAAAACAATAATAACAAATATGTACAATGGTTATCGAGGTATAGGCCTCAAGAGTTTGACATTTGATGAGATAGAGTGGTCAGTTAGTCAGTTCTGAGACATTCAAAGTGGGACGTAAACTAAGACATTATTAAAAAGCAATTATTAAGAAAAATACTGTATTTCATGAAAATTAAGCTGATATATATATATATATAATGTATATATATTATTATTATTTATTTACCTGTCTGAGTCTTTCTTCAGTCTCAGCTAGGGCAGCACCGTGAGCTTCAGAGGACACACTTGGCATTTGTGGGTTGTTAGGCATTTGCCCTGAGTCTTGGGGCATAGGTACAATGTTTCCAACACCCCCCTGCTCTTTCATGTCCATCTTCTCTGCTGACTGTGGATGAGGGGTCATAGGGGCCTGTTCAAATGGATCATGGACAGGTATCTGGCTGAGTCTCCGAGAAGGGGACAGGGTAAATCCATCATCGGACACACTAGGGTGTTTGGGTGTTTGTGAGCCTGGATGAACAAAGTGCTCTTGAAGCCTTCCTTGAGGTTGTTGGAAAGAATCCTGGCTCCCCATTACTCCTGGTCTTGCCATGACTGGCCTCGGGGTCCCAGGAGGCTGAGAGTAAGGGTCATTTTGCATTGGTCTTTGGTTCCCCGGCTGAAACATTTCACCAGCTCCTGGCCTTGATGATCCAGGTGTGCTTGTAAAAGGCTCCATTGGCCCCCTCTGGCTGCCTGGCGACTTAGAAAATCTTTCACCTGCTGGAGGTCTTGGTGTGCCTGGGGGATGAGCATAAGGATCCACTGAATGGGATGGTGACATCCTCTGTCCAGACTGGGACTGGTGGGGAAACGGATTCATACCACCAGGACGTGGTGTAGTAGGGGGATGTGAGTAAGGGTCTGATGATGGACTAGTGTTTGATGGCTGGCCATAATTGTCATGTGGACGTGGGGTGCCAGGAGGTCGAGCATAAGGCTCAAAAAATGGACGTGGTTGAACACTGACTTCATTGACAGACCGTTGGTTGACCCCAGACTGTGCAAAGTGATCAGGTTTGTTAGGAACAGAAGGTTGAGCAAAGGGGTCATAAGTATAATGGTCTGGCCTTGGAGTCGAAGGTGCATGAGCATAGGGATTTCTTGACATCTGAGCCACTGGTCCTGGCTGAGCAAAAGCGTGACCCTGTGGGTGATGCTGGCTCATTCTAGGAGGGCTGGTGAAGTTGTCATTTCCAGATGGTCTTGATGTATGCATCGGCTGACCAAAGGGGTCATTATGGGGATTCTGGGGAAACCTGTTGATTGTATGAGGACCTGGTCGACAATAAGGATCCTGAGCCTGAGGAGGGGGCATTGGTGTTTTAAACAATGGTACAGAGCCTGACTCATTACTTCCAGGGATTGGTGCTAGTAGTGGCCTTGAATAAGGGTCTGACAAAATCATTCTGTTCTGTGCCATGCGTTGATAAGCCTCATTTCTTATCATAGGTCTGGAGTAAGGGTCTCTGCCCGGAGAACCCATTGGGGGCCTTCCCTGGGCCATCTGACTGGCCCTAGGTGGCCCCATGGGCTTCAAAAAGGGGTCAGTGTCCCCACTTGGCCTTGGGGTGTCAGGAGGCTTGGCATAAGGATCACTGCTCATTGATGTTGGTGAGCCAAAGGATTCATGAATGGGGGAGGGTCTACCTCTGTCTTGCTGCTCCATTAAGGAAGTGGGAGATTTTCCAGATTCTACTGCAATTCTACGACAGGCATTTGGCCCAAGAGGCGGTGGTCTTGGAGTTCCAACCATCTTGGCATAAGGGTCCCATGGAGACGTGGGTCTGGAGCCAGAAGAACCAGGAGAGAATACCTGTGGGGACTGAGGTTGGGAGGATGGGCCAGATGGAGGTGGAGGAGGGGGCCTTAAGAACACATCCTCTGTGAGGCCTGAAGTAGGGGTTCCCGGTAGTTGTGGCCTGGCAAAAGGGTCTTTAGAGTTGAGCTGCTGGAGTGGGGACATGCTGCCATTGCTCAGCTGTGACGCTGGGCTCTGGTTCCCACTGGTGTTGCCGTCTCCCTCTGACTGGCTGTTGATCTGCTGCTGTTGCTGCTGTTGAAGTTGTTCATTCTTAACTTGCTCCAACTTCTGTGTGGCTTCAATTTTTGCTTGTTGTTTGCTTTTTTGCCTCATTTGCTGTTGAGAAAGGCACAACAGACGTAGGATTTAATCATCAGGAAAATAGTATGAAATACCAGTCTCATGCCAAAAATGAAGTGGATCTACTGACCACCAATGTCATCAGGGTTAGTGTAGAGGACAGTGAAGTTGTTTAGGGAGCTTTACTAAAACACCACTTCCTAGCTGTCTTAATATAATGTGGACCTGCCGCTGCAATCCCTGACTTCATTGCATACACTCTTACCTGTCTAAACTTCCACTCTTGTTCATGCTCTGACTCTTTTGTTTTCAAAGGGTCTTTAAACAGCAGTTCTGTGTCTAGTGGTATGTTGGGATCAAACACCTCAGGGGGCTGTTGCTGCGGATGCGGCCTCTTCACCGTCTCATTGGACATCTGGACTTTGTTGATGCGCAGGGCTGCTCGGTTATCTCTTGCCTTTTGCTAAACAAAAACACAATCAAAATTAAATAAAATATTAGTCAAATTGACTTATTCAACATGCGTGTGCAGGTAAAAATCATCATTACCGATATTTAGCAAACCATCTTTCTGTGGTTGTATTATGATACAAAAGTATTTGTATCATAAGTCCAAGTCCTAAAATTGACCAAGGCAAGTGTTTGTCTAGTTTAACATCTGGCATTGTTAAAAACAATGCAAATTTTAGGACAAAAAGTACAAATGCAATAACGTGGTTGTTCTTACCACATATGGGGCCCTATCTTGTGAACTAGCTTTCCTCCAAAGTTTTGCAATTTGCTTTGCTCTTGTAGGCCAATCTGTAAAAAAAAGAAAAGCAATTATCAATCCATTATTTTTGCAGAGGATCAAATTTACTTTTTATTAAATTGTTTCAGCTGAAAACTCTTGTGGCCCTGTACTGACCTGGGTATTCCTCTTTAAGGTTGGGAAAGTTGACATTGGTATACAGGACAGGTGCAACAGTGGCTAGCTCTCCAAGTGACTCGTCCTTCTCCCACTTGAGTGTACTCCTTTGGGCGTTTGACATGGCTTCAGTCTCCCCCTCAGGCACTGAACCAGGGGGTATAGGACCAGGACAATTGGTAGGTGCGGGCCACTGACCAACTGCATCCCTCGGCATCTGATTAAACTTTCTATCTCTGCTATCATGGACAAACAGGTCTGTAGTTAATTTTATGAAAAAAATTGATAAGGGAAAAAAATGGACAGTTAAAAACAATGACAAGTGTTACCTTAGATTGTCAATGAAAGGCATACGGTTAAGAGGGGAGAAGTTTTCTGGCATACAGGGCCCTCCTGGATTTGTGGGGAAGCGCTGGTTTGGTCCCATCATACCATTGATCATTGGCATTCTTGGAAACATGGGATTCCCTGCTCAGATGATTTTTGAGACTCAGGTTAGATGCATTTATTAAAAACATGAAGTAAACAAAGTGTATGTCATACTGATAAAAAGGACATTAACAGTTCACCTGTGTTGAGGTGAGGCATGCTAGTGCCAGGTGTGGCAGGGAGGGAACCTGGTCCCTGGGGGTGAGGCACCTGTGGTGGGGGAGGTGGCTGGCTCGTGCTAGGGCTTAGTACTGTGAAGAGATCCTCCACATCCTTACCCTCCAGCTCTGAAAAATAGTGTTTAAATATCTAATGAAATGGAGTAAAACTCTCTGCACTTGATATACAATTATTACTTTTTATTATGTATTACTTATTATCAAGACAGACAAAAAATGTAGTATGTTTATTCTAGGACAGATATAACATTGAGATTGTTAATGTATTTTAAAAAATACAAACAATTGCTTGAGACATAAGCTCTATTGGGATTTATTACTGATAAAAAATAAAGAGATTTTTACAAACCTGGAATTTTGCCAAGTTTGCTGAGAATCGACTCTGAAAAGGGACAAGATCCAGAAAACACAACTAGTAATTTTTGTTTTTTTATTTAGACCACAATTTTAATTTTTATGCTGCATTTTTTTCTTCTCCTTTACTGACCATCAGTGACCATTTTGTCCAGCTCAGGGCTAAGAATGTCGTCCAGATGTTCCTCAGGGAGAGTGCGGGGTGTCCTTCGGCCGGAATGAGGCTGCGGCACCAATGAGGAACTGTCAGCCAGAGGCCCAGTGTCCAGACCAGCTGTGGAAACAGACACACACACACACAAAAATCACACAACTATTGTTGTTTTGAGGACGATGATGCTTTAGGCCCGAGCATGAAAACAGTTTGCAAGAAGTAAGGTACGTTTTTTAATTATAGTAAGTAAAAAAACATCACAAAAATACAACAGTTCCACTCCATAATAACAAGATAACTGATTGACTTATCATACTGCTATGAAATTACATAAGGTCACTTTGTACAAAATTTAGCACGGACATTGCAGATCTTACAGTATGTAGCAGTGTCTGTTTGCAGTTCTGTAAATGCTTAAATCTGGTTCATTACAAGTTTCAGACCTGCACGTTCGATTGGTTGCATCGCCTGGTATCCAACTAATTCAAATACATTCTTCTTCCTTTATTCATTTATGATACTGATAATATTATTCTTTGGAGTCTGAAAAGCTCTTCTGGTGAAATGTGTGCTTTTCAAAAAAAAAAAAAAAGCACAGTGAGGCCTATTTTTCAAAACAGGTCTATAAAGAAAACACCATCACCATCTCTGGGAATACAAGGACATCTACCAAGGCCGCTATTTGCCTCAATTATTCTCCTGTTTCTAAACAGGTTTGCTGCTTGAATACCAGGATGTCCTTGTCCCTTGTCTCTCTCTATTTGAGGACGTATTTAAGGCGACAATGGATTTGTTTCCCTTGTGTTTTCATAAATAAATGTCACAGCCTCAAAATGGTTAAGGAGGCACACACAAAGACCGACAAACTGTGTCACAATGCAGTCAACACATTGCAATAGGCATGGTTAGTACTGAGCTTTCATGACGGTGAGAAATATTTAAAAGGGGTTAAAATCAGTACGAAAGGCAAACATGCACACTTAAATTAGAACCTGTCTTGTCAGTAAGGAAAATGTCACCTAGGCAAGGATTAGTAGGCATTAGTAGACCATGGGCACCCTTACCAAAAGAAGGAGGTGAGCTGTCAACCTGGAAGGGGCAAAAATCAAGACCTACAAGAACCCAAAACCAGATAAAATGAATGAGAAAATAGTGGAGACAGGACAAGAACAACGCACTTCAGACAATGCAAAAAATAAATAAATAAATATAAACAAGAATGAAAAAACGAGTATGTGACTTAATAATTGAGTGGTGAAACATCTAAGCTGGCAGAAGTGAAAGGATTTTCTATTTCAATGACTAGAAGACAACAGAAAGTTTTTTAAGCGTCGTGATTGCCTGAAATAAACGACGCACCAGGGTCATTGCTTGACTTTCCGAGCATTCCCAAGAGGTCTGCATCAGTGTTCAGAACATCAGAGAGATCAACTAATGGTTCCTCAGATGTCTCATTGTCTGTAGATGAAAAAAGGAAGAAACAAAAAAAGAAAGAAACAACAAATCATAATTGATGGTGATGTCGAACAGATAGGAGTGTGAGATTTGGAACTGTGTCTTTCGACACCCCACATTTAGACAAGAAAAAAAAAAGTAGTTCCAACAAATCTCTCAAAGCAAAACAAAAATTAAATCCACATCCAGGGGGACATGGTGACAGCAAACACAATCAGCAAAATACGTTTCAGTTCTGTCATCAGGTGTTTTCAGTGTGGAAGTGTTGAATGTGGCAGAAAACTGTGACATTTCAAACACCAATTGTTGATATGTTCAAAACTTCAAAAGTATGTTCTAGTTCTTTGTCCTAACACAATTTGTGATGAAGAAACGCTTATAGCAATGAAAGACAACAAAACATCATAGTGAAAAGCGACAGAAAATCCCCTGAAAATCATCACTTGCTGAACAGCACCTACTTTTTGGTCACATAAAATAATCATCTTAAAGAAAACCAAATTCACTCTCAGTAGAGAAACATATGCTGTATACGTACGTGCTGCTGTAGCTCTCAAGGGAAAGTTTGCTCTTGGGACACCGAGCATTGGGTCCGATGAAGAACCCATAAAGCTGCTGGGATTGGGCTTCCTCTCCACTTGTGTTTGTCCGTCTTCCAATAGGCCTGGTTCACTGGCCTGCTGCCTACTTTGCTTGCTCTTGTCCAGCAGATCTTTTCCGAAGAACGCCTCCTGAACATGTCAACACAAAGTACACTTTACTTTGAATTCCTTGTTTTTATTTAAGCTGTACCCACATCCTTCGTTTCAGCTATACACATCGCTGAGACACAAAGTTTGTGTTTCATGAAAATTTTATGAAACTACATTATACAGACAATCTCTCATTCTGAAAGTTTGGCCCAAAAGCATCAACTTATCACTAATCAATTCCCTATATGATGGCATAAGCCATCTGCTGCCCTTGTATCCTCTACATAGACATCCTATCATTTCTCCTGTCACTGCGAGTAAAGAGCTGCACTGACACATGGCCGTGTCTTAATGCACAAAACATGTCTATCTTGTATCTGTGTTTTGACGTGGATATTGTGGTCTGACTCCAGGAGCACTAACATTGCACCCACTTGAGCTCACATTTGTCTTTTCACAATAAGGTGGGACCGTTTTAAAATGCACAAGACAAGAATTGAATGCAGTGCACAGAGTAAAGAGCGGAAAAAGACCTAATAGTATTTTTAGTATTTAGTATTTTTAGGAAAATCTGATTGATAACAAATCAGTGGTCATGTTGGTTCATATACTGTTTTCTGAACGTACAGTTGTTGTTAAGAAGTAACACTATTTGCACCACTTTGTCAACAACTACTGACATCATGTCAAACAGAATGTGTGTATTTGAGTCAGACCTGCAGGTATGTAGGAAAGGCCTCCTCCAGTTTGGTTTTCTTTTTTCTGTAACGCTTCTTTATTTTCTCTGGGACCTCTGGTCCAGGAGGCATCTCATCCACAGGGGTATCTGGCAATGCTTCTGCCCATCCTGCAACAAATGATGATTCAAAAAAATGACTGGATTGGATTAAACTTTTCTTTACAAGATTTTTTAAAATTGATTTATAATGTAAAATAATACATGACAAACCATCTTCTTTTCCTAAAGGATTCTCTGACATGGATCCAGAGGAGTCTTTCCTGCAGAGGGATCGTTTGGCCTTGCCTGGACCTTGGCCTGGTCGGCTTCTCTGGCGGACCATGAACCCACCGATGCCTATAAAATATATATTTTTTTTAACATCAACAAATCTACAAATATAACATCAGTGATGTGTCATATACAGTATGTTATGTCATGGGGGCAGGGGGCGCAGTATATTATATGAGAAGTGCCAGGAAGTCAAAGGTGGATCACTCTCTACACCACAGGCAGGAGGATGGTGCATTGCAGGAGCTCGAACAACAGGCCTGAACTGCAACATTTTACGCTCCAGAGGAGCTGTCTTCTTCAATCAGGTGCCCTACCCGGCCGGTACGGTTTCCTCTTCCTCTTCTTGCCACCGTCGCCCCCCTTAGAGTCATCTTCTGTTGGCTCCCGCTCCAGACTTGAGTCTGACTTTGCCTCGCAATCCATGAGCTCTGCCTCTGTGAAAGGCAAAAAGCACTGATGATGAGTGACATCATGCCCTGCAGCAGAAAACAAACAAAAAAAAAAAAACAATTGAAGGCTAGGGTGATCACCTGAAACCCTACATTGTGCGTGACTGAAATTATTATATTTAAAATTAGTATTTCATCTTAAAATTTTCATTTTTAAAAAAAATAATAGTAGTCTTGTTTAATCTTGGCATGTCTTTTATAACATAACACCATCTAGAGAGGTAAAATAACCTTTGTTTTTGGTTGATATATTTAGAATTTCTAAACTTTCAGTATATAGATTATACATTTTCTCTTAGAGACTCATCGGTGAAGCCACCAGACAAATTGGTATAGGCTGTAGCACTATGACTAGCCAGCAGGGGGTATTCTCCAATTTAAAAAAAAAAAATTCCATCTACCAAATGAGACCAAATATTGCAATATTTCAGTGTACTGTTATTTTCTCTCTTTCTTACTCTTTTTTGACTTATTTATCTTTAGCTTCCATTTTATATGAATTTTTATGCTTCCCTTTAAGTATAATTAAATGTGATTTTCTTTTGGTAGTAGTCCAAGTAAAGGCTATTCTGAGAATCCCAGGAGGGAGCAGTGTGCGAACAGACTGGTACCTCTGTTGTCTTCCATTTCTTCATCTCTAGAATGTTCTGAAAGGTGGTCTACGGGGGTTTGAAGCACAGCCACACTGTTTTGGTTGATGATTTTCAGCTTCAGCTTTGGCTTGGGCTTCCTGCGCCGTGAAGCTGTAGCAGACAGACTTTGCAGCTGGCACAGACCTGACTCCGTCAGACAGACACCGTCCTGAGTATAGGTTCTTGACAGATCTGAAAAAAAAAAAAAGGCCGACTTTAGTCAAGCAAGCATTTTGTGGCTGAAAACATTTGTGGCTGCAAAGATGTGAAGTGTTGACCTTACCCATTTCTCTAGCTTTTGTGACTGTCTGTGTCATAATCAGAGGCTCAATAGCATCTCTAGCCTTGGTCACGACTAATGCAGCACAGAACAAAAAGGCAATTAAAAGGAAACAGTGAGAGAGGGTGAAATGTCTAACGGCTGACGTTATAAAAAAAAACAGAACAAAATCAACAAAACTTCATTATAGTCCCACCTTTAGTGGTCTTAAAAGTGCGACACATTGTGCAGTCAAAGCTGCTTTCTGCAGCTTTCTCCACATCTTCTTCAGAATGGAGACCCTGACAAGAGGCATGGAACCATCTGTGGATGAAGAAAAAAATAAAAAAGATCTCAGATAATAGAAAAATTATCAAAAATTCAAGAGCTCTGAAAGCTTTTGAGCTGACATGTTTTGTTAAAAAACAACTGCTCACCTATCACACTGACGGCACTGCACCACAATGGTGCCTTCACTGTAGTCCACCAGGCAAATGGGACATGTGGGAATGCTGGCACAGGGGGCACACTGAGTGTAATTATTCTGCCACTCACACCTCAGGCCTGGTGTGGTGGCACCACACTGGACACAGGACACACACCTGAAGGAGGGAAGGTCAGTTATAACTGATCTGAAGAAAGAAGGAGGAGGAGGAAGAGGAGGAAAAGGAGAAAAAGCAAGACAATGATTGAATGAAATCTCTGCAGGTTGCTCACCATTTACACTTCCAGCTGTCCTTGGGTACATTCTGCAATGGAGGGTCCAGGCAGTAGGTGTGATAACTGATGTCACAGTCGTCACACAGCAGTAAGCGGCCTGGATCTGTGGCCTGACCACATGCCTCGCAGACAGTGCACTCTAGACAACGCCAGCCTTTACTCAGCACGACCTTAGTGATCTGTGAAAGCAGGAGTGATGTTTTTATTGTGTATAGTTAAAAATGACATTTGTATCTTGTATAACCTTCAACTGGCATAGAAAAAGTAATGAATGTACCTTTATGCCCACACAGAAAGGATGGTAGCATTGGCCGCACTGAGCACAGGCCAAGAGACGGCCTTCAGCACCAAGGCCAAAACTCCCACACACCACACACATATCCTGCAACAGAGAAACACCTCAGGATTTATCATTCCTTACCGTAGCAGTGAGGCAAAAAAAAGTTTTTAGTGATGTTTTAATATGTAACTGATTTACCTGCCTTACAATGAATCAGTGGATTCCACATAACTACAAGGATTAATAAGAACGGTTTGAAAAAAATCACCTGTTTTAGAGTAAAACTGTCATTACTGGAAAATATAACAACAGTGTTGTGCATGGCGTTTTCCTCCTCTTCTTTAAATGGGTAAGCCGCCTCTATGGTGGTGACCTGTTTGAGTTAGAAAAAACAAACAAAAAACAGAATCCAACAATGTTATTTGTGTGGCAGGACAGTGCCACCTCCTCTAACCAGGAAAGTAGGTTGATATGACCAGTAAAGATTCACACTTAAAAAAAAATTAGCAACAGGCCTTTAGGACATAAATATCCATTACAAGAAAAAGTACAATTTTGGCTTTGAGGTGTCGTTACCATGATCATCTTTAGCTGAGGGTGGAAAAAACAAATACTACTTTGCATTTTTACCACACTTACACAGAATACACACTGAATGCACATACCCCTGGGTTGATGCTGGGACAAGAGACTCCACTTTTGCCTCTAGCTCTTCCACGTCCTGCTCGACCTGACAGTCCAGCCCCTCTAGGTCTCCTCCTCCCAGGAAAACCTGAACCGCGACCCTGAAAAAAACACACAAAAAACCCCACACCAAAACAATCAGACCATTTTATTTTAGTTTTTCCAAGAATTTAGAATGTAAATAATGAGTGAAAGATTTGTTGTCTTCTAAACATTAGGATTTCTCTAGATTTATGGCTGTGTGATGGTGTAGTAGTTGAACATTAATCCAGATGTGACATTTAGAGGCTGTGTGCTGCTTCATACAAAATACTTTTTATTTTAATAATTTCTTAAGACATGTATCACTCTATATGTAACGTAATTAAAAATAATAAATCAAATTTATCAAATAATTGTATTATATGTTTAAAACTGGAAACTTAACAACTATAACTTGAAGTGACTAAATCTGATGTATTTTAAAGCTCACAGCATTTGAGCGCAGACGACATGCACAACGCATGTCGTCTGCGCTCAAATGCTTTGAGTTGCAAAAGGTGCCGGCCAGTGCAAAATAAATGGAAAAAGCCAAGGTCGAGAGAAATCTTTAAATGTTTTGCTGTAGATACTGACATTTGAAATAATTCTAAAATAAAAAATAATTAAAGAATGCAGTTATTAAAAAAAAGGGGAGAAGAGTAGAACAAAATTAGACCAAAATATGTCGTGGTTGGTTAAAAGAAATAAAATTACAAAAGACTGATATACTCCTCCACTTGCAAGAGTTATTGTGTTGAAATTGGTTTTAAAAGAGAGTGACACGAGAAAATTGTGTGTCACTGGGTAAACAGAGGGCTGAGAGAGGGCAAATGCTGCACTGCCATCTCTGGTGAGCCACAGTATTTACCACTCTGATGCTCCAGCCGGGGCTGCCAGAGGACTGCCTGGTCTTTGAGATGTCCCACCCCTCTGACTGGTCTGGAGACCAGGACAAAGGGGAGTTCACACTACGATGGGGGCTCCATGCACCCTAAGGTAAGGGGGGTGGGTGGGTAAGAGATAGGGAGAGAGCGAGAGAAAGCGAGAGAGAGAGAGAGAGAGAGAGAGGAAGGGAGGAGGGCGACAAAATGCAGCAACTTAAAAACAAAGCCAGCGTAAAACAAAAACATACGACGAAGGATGGTGGAGCAATGTAGTGAGCTTCGAATGTAGCGATGTGTGACCAATACAACAAACCCCTGTCCATTCACAGCTGCAGCCTGGGAGAAAGCATCAACTGGGCAAGAATATCACTGGCATTCTGTGTTACAGCCAAATATTTGTGTCGTCATGCTTACTAGTCAGGCAGGCCTGTGTTTGTAACAGATTCTTTGTAAAGGTGAAAAATAGAGTGGAATCAAGTGTTAGTAGAGTTTCACATAGTAAAATCTGCCAGGTCATCATGGCACTACATTGCAAAAAAAAAAAGGTGATGTATTTTTCTGCTGCAACAATAGAGTATGGTTGGCATGTTGACAAAACAAGGCAGCCTGCGTCAGCACCTGAACTGGCCAGAACAAAGGAGGGAGAAGTAATGTTCCAATTCTTTAAAAAAATTAAAATCCCTAAAAAACATATAGGATACAATTTTTAAACCATTCCCAGAGAAAAGTATTCTCTGGTAATCCTGAAGTACTATTGAAAAAATTGGGGTTTTTCTTTTTTTTACAGAACTGCTGAAGAACCATGTGGCTCCATTCCAAATCAAAATACAACAATCAAAACCAAGAACGATCTAGGAGGAAGACTTGTAGAAAAATTAGAAGCATATTGTTTAACGAGAACTCCTCATCATTAGGATGTTGGTGTTTGTCAGAAAACACATGAAATCTGGAGGATCTTGAGAGATCTGGCAGAAAATGAGCTGTGAGTGCAGTCTGTTTAAGGGGAGAAAAAAGGGGGCAAACAACCATCAGGCATTTTAATTAAAAGAGAAATGGTTGAAAATAATGTTAAAGAATTTGGCATGTGCAAATATAAAGTTTATTAAAGGAGACTTTTACATCCAATACGTAATTTAAGTAAGACTGTGAATGCAACTTTTATTTGCGTTCACAGTCTTTGTTTCCCCTATTTAAATTATGTGACAGGTTAAGAGGGATTTGTAATTGAAAGGGAATAAGCCTGGTACCCAATGACTCAGCCTTGTACAGACACAGGGCTCTGTGGTTGTGCATCTCTGCCCTAAAGTATAGGTAAGTCTACCTTTAAAAGCTTGGCTGTAAAGACAAATGCAGGATGTGAAAATGACAATGGCCAGTCAATGGAATCATAATGGGACACAGATGTGAGGTCAACACAGAATGCATCGCTGCTGAGGTGGAATACAACAAATATCAAGTATCAGTAATACTTGTTTTGGGCGTTTTAATGGAGAACTCATTTACAGCTTTAATTGGAGCTGTCAAAATTAATGCTTTAAGTTAGTTATTTAATTTATATAATTAATAAGTTCAAAATATTTTTACATTTATATGCATGGACAAAAGGATGTGCACTGTATATTTCACTATCCATCTACTTATCTTTGCTCTAATACACAGCCAATACACATTTTGTTATTTACACTGACTGTGGAAAAATGTTTTTGTTTCACGGTGCACCTGCAGAGCACCCGACTTGAATCATACCATCGTCACCAAGAACAGGTCAGATTTGAATTAGTGACAAATAAAAATAGATGTGACACATATATACCTACCTGCATTGATTTGTCTTTTTGTCTAGCAATATAAATATAGGAATGATGATGATTAAGGAATTTTCATTTTTAAGATTATCTTTCAAGCCAATTCATTGTGATTAATTGGTATTAATCCACGGCTACTCTGTGTTTAATCAGAAAATATTTAATTAATTTACAGCCCTTCTTAAATAATATAAGACGTTTATATATATAATATAGTATATTTCCTATGACTCATGGCTTATGTTATACTGAATTTATGAACATTTAGTTGAAATTAGGGAGCATCATAGGGCACAGTTTGATTTGAACCCAATAAACATTCTGCAAAATATCTGACAAACTGTGGACACTGTAAAAATATCCAAATTAGTTTTGTGACCTAATATCCAGGCTCTTACCTGTCTTACTCTCGGCCTCCCAGGAGAAAACTTCCTCTTGGTAATAGCTGGCTTTCCCATTCCAATCTTTGGGGTGAGAGGTATGTGGGTGGTGGTGGTGGTGGTGATGGATGTGATGCTGCAGTGATCACTTAGTGAAGGTAGAATCTGGGACTGTGCTAATTCTCTGTGGCATGTCCCTCGGAGTAAAGAGGAGGAATGAGAGGATGAGGAGACCATTTCGGCCAGCCTCTCCACAGTCGTCTTGAGTGTTTTGTCTTCCGAAGACAGGCTGAGAAATGACAGAATAGGCTTGTTCTCCTGTGAAATGTCCATCTTTTCTAATGTAACAGAGGCTGAAGGATCAACAGTTTCCGCAGAGTTCCTGTGAAAAACGCCGTCCCTTATCTCCTTGAGTTCTTTCGGAACGGTTTCCAGACCAATCACATCCATGCTGGGAGGCTGGAACACTGAGAATTCCATTGGTTGGTCCGGTAAAGGTAATGATGGAGTACTTGGTTCTTTGGTGGCAGAGGTGATGGCCATTAAATCCTTTGTGCTGGGGTCAACCACGGCCTGTTCAGAGCCCGTCTCTGTCCTTGCTGGTTTACTTTGTGTTGTGGCGTCCTGTGTCTGCAGTGGATCTGCATGAAGCTGGGTCGGTAAAGATTCCTGGCAAGCTGTGGAAGATGCAGGGCTCTCTGTAGATTGGAACTGGGTCCTTACTGCTGGTTTTACTTCTGTTAGAGGGCATACACAGGAAGGTTTTTAGAAAAATGTTAAATTCTTAAAACAGTCTGAATTTGAAAGAGAATGAATGCTGCTTAATAGGGAGGAAATATTGACATGCCAACATATTTCGATATTTCGCTCCTTGTCGATACATACCCCTACTGCTAAGACATCAGGACTGTTCAAATCCATGTGACACTTTTCTTTCAGGATATCAAGAGCTTGAAGAATTGCTGTTCAATATCAGCCAATGAACGTAGTATGCATTTTAAACAGTAGCATCTGTGGCCATTAACACACTTTAACAGCGACAGTAAACTTAAAGTGTATAGATTTTACAATATTCTTACAACGGCAATCGCTGTAACATTAGAGCAAATCAATATGAGCTCCGACAGTATCAAGTCATTCTGAATGAACAGGGTGTGAAAATAAAACTGCCTTTAATTTAGTTAATGGACTCATTTTCTTATTATTAAACTGTAGATTAGACTGAGAACAGAGAAATGAGAGAGAGAAATGACTCTGGATGACACTGTAATTCCAGGAAAACTGTCACTAACACAGAAAATACTGTGGGATGTTTTTAACATCCGTACATATTTATATTAATATTTAATATTTATTTATTAACTGTACATTCGCATAACTGCATCTTTGATTGCACCGTTTGTATTTGGCTTGTGAAAATGATATCAAATGAGTTTTGAAACAACGGTAAAGGACAGTCTCATCAGTGTAACTAAAATTATGTTAAGGTAGTAAAGTGTTTGTGGAGAGAATGCATGCTGACCATAACATTTGTACAAATACATTTTTTTTGTCTAAATACTAAACGTTTATAATTAAATAGAAAAGTTGAACTAATAGAATTAAGTTAAGAGGATGAGCTGGAGATATTTTTTTTAAAATCAGTGCTCATCCAGTCACCATGTATTTGATTCTGCCTTCTCTCTTAACTTGGTTTTGTCTGAACATGTCATTTGACTAGTCGGGTATGAATAGAACTAGTCATTCCTGGCTACCAGGCAGCCACACTCGGAGCCCCCTTTTCTGCCAGACAGTACAGATAGCCCAGTATTAACGAGGCACCCACCATTTCCATCTGCAAGTTCCCATGTCACAGTGATCCTGACACACACATGCACCTGCTAAGCATCTCTGCCAGGGAAGGGAGTAACCATGACAACCAACATCCCAGGCTCTATGTGCTCCAGGCTCATGACTGTGCAGCTTGCAGGTGCTCATCCGGTGCCGATGCCAGAAAGTCAATTAGGAGATGGGCTTCCAACCATCTCCAGCCTTCAACTATTGACCAGACTGAACACACGTTCTCATTCATATCATTAGCCAGCTTCCTATGTCTCCTACAGTGAATACAGTGATGTTTAGACTGAGGGCTTTGCTTATTACAATGGAACCCATTCATTGGGTCTGTGTCTAAACAAGGTAAATCTCTGGAGTAATATTCTTATATATATGTACTGGCACACTGAAGACTACCATGTTCCCTAGCCATCCAAGTTTAGAGCCCCAATCCAATCAGCACCAATTAACCTAAAAAAAGAAAAGTAGCTGTTGTGCATTTATTATCAGGTTAATACAGAAACACAGACAGGTGACCCTGAGTCAGTTGCTCTGCTGTTGATGTGAATTCATGCTTATTCGTGATTATAACTGTGACTTAGCTGTCTGAAAGGACTCTGAAAGGAAAACTGTTTTAACATATCAATTTGTTGGCTTTGAGATATACAGAGTATAGTATGGAAAATAAAGTCAAAACAATGGTTCGTGTATACTGTGACCAGAGCTTGAATGAGATACTGAAGTTCCAAGGTAGGTTTTCAGACAGTAAATCTGATATCATCAACATTACGCTACTCTCCATGCAGCCCATTTTCTCCAGACACTGGAGGCTGGCGTCTAGACAAGTATGTGTAGCCTAGTTACCACGAGAATCCACGCTTTACTGCTTGTGCTTCTCTCCACTTAATGGCAGCAAATAACAACTTAAAGTGTGGCTTTAAACCATCAACAACAATTCCATATAGAATTCAGCCAGTGGGTCTTGGGGTGGAAACTATGGGATAAGCTCCTGCTGATGAACGCATTGAAATCATCATTTCATGGACGTAAAACCACAGCTTGTTATCTGGTATTTATATTCAACTACAAAAAACCCTGCAACAATTCTGTCAATGTTGCAGAGATAGTGGGTTTGTCGAACAATATTCATTTTAGTATTTTTCAATGAAGTCATCTTGTCTTTCTTTCTTTTTTATTTCTTTTCTAAATATTATTGCAATATCACTTTCAGGGAGATTCAATAAGCTGTATTGATCAGTGCACAAAAGTGATTTGTGGAAAGAAGAATCTAAAAAGAAAATGACAACAATATGACAATCTGCTTCTGGTTTGACAACATCGGATTCTTTTCATTTATAGATATGTCCTTCTTCCTCTCTCTGACCCTCAGTCAGACACCTGCTTCCTTTAAATTATAACTAGTTAAACTTTGAGAACTTCCTGGGCTCAAGCTTACATCATCGTTGGCCTCTAAAACACTGCTGTATCTTTGAAAAACCTTCAATAATAATACAAAAATAAACAGAGTAGATTTCAATTTGAAAGACCTGGAGAACGTTAGCGAGCAGGTGTCTTACTGTGTGTGTGTGTGTGAGCGTTCAGCATTTTTTAACAAAGACCTACCGGGCTTCTGGGCTGACGTGGCCTGCTTCTCCTCCTGGACAGTAGCCTGGACAGGCTCTGGATCTGTGTGCAATGGAACAGTAAGTAATTCCGGTGTGGGGTCATTGTGCATTTCAGGAGGCCGCTGAGAGCCAGGTTCTGGGTCTGTGTGCTTTTGAGCAGTCTGTAGGTCTGACTCAGAGTCTATGTGCATGGAGCCAGGCGGGCTCAGGCAGGCGCTGAGCTGTGGGCCAGTATCCATATCCTCTGCCTGCGGTGCCTGCTCTGCAGCAGGAGACCTGCAGTTGGAACAGACATAGTCCTCTCTGGGGTGAATCTCTGCTTGGCCTGAGTTCTGCCGTTCACACTCAAGGTGTTGCCATCTGAAAAGAGAGTAAAGGAATTTAACATGAAAGTCAAACAGAGTGCAATGCGAGTCTAAAAATACCATCTGCAAATAGTTACACATATGAATAAATGTTCAGTACCTTTTACAGGTTTGGCAGAATACTAAGTCTTTGTGATGCTCAGGGTCCATGATGCAGGAACATGTAGGACAGCACAAAGCAGGGTCCTGATTCTGGACACAGTTCTCACACAGGAGACTGTTGTGATGCCACTGCCCACTTGTTCGTGTCCCACATTGGAGGCAAACTCTGCAGTTCTGTAGAGAAATAAAGTGCTTATTTAGAACTATTTTGTTTACTGTAATTTAGACCAAGGAGGTGTTAATTCAGAAGTGTTTCAGCAACATAGATTTGTCAATTTGGTGACCAAGTACAGTTTATTAGCTATACCGTGTTTCAATTATTAAGATTTTTAATCACATTTATTTCAGCTACTTTGGGGTAGCTGTGGATTAATCATGATTAATCAAGATCGTAATTTATCATAATTAATTGAAGTAAAGTGACTGAAATATGACAAATAACAGCAGGTCGATGTTTCACATCGGATCCAAATGGTGGAATTTATATATGGAACAATGAAAAGAAAATTATCCAAAAGCATAACTCAAATCCTACCAAAAATATGTAATAACTATGTGCACTTTTTGAGTTGAGCTGGATTTTAGTCATTACTGTGCATCTTGACAGTGGCTTCTGGAACGTGTCGAGAGTTGCTTTCAAAACATTGGTGAAGTCGTTGTCCTCAACAATATTAATCAGTCCACAGTCTCCTCATCCATTTGACAGTTGTGTCAGTCAGCTTGTCAGTCGTAGACTTATTTACTACTCTGCGCTCGGTGAGGCTGGTCTGATGCGTCTGACTGGAAATTGAAGCCTCGGCTGGATGAGGTGGCATTTAAATCATCTGTATCCACTATGTATTAGAGTAACCACAAGTGAATGGATGGTGAACTTTTTTGGCTAAATAACCAGAATGGAGTCATTTTGCATAAAACATTGCCACATTCTGCCCTTCCTGTCCATCAAAGGCATCTTTTTAATGAGCTAAAGCAGGGCATAAAGAAGCAAATGTTTTTTTTTCAATTAATAAATCAACACACTTCATTCTTTGACCCTATTTAGAAAAAAATGTTTTTACACTTTTGAAAATACTGAGGTTATGTCAGTCCAAGTGGAATCAATTGAATGTCCCCAGATCTGTCATATGGGGACTTTTTTCTCATTGCCAGAAACGGTATTTGCATAGGCTCTTTTGCCACTCACTTATGACAAACTGAAAACATTCCTTTGTGGACAAACAAAAATTTGACCTTGGCAAAATGATCAACATTTTTTATCTGTTTGGATATGTTTTTGAAAAATGTATCTAAAATCTTTGAAAGGAACTGCTCGTAAGATTTCGTATTTTGATTTCTTTGAAGCACTGCATGTTTGACATTGGAACAAAGTAATGCTGTGCTGTTGCTTTTAACAATTCCAATAAGGAATTTTTTGTTAGCAATTTAAAGCTATGTTTTTCCAAACCTAATAGTTTGGGCAACTTCTGCACTTGCATGTAGGCCATGCGCATCCAGGGCCATTAAGTAGTCTTAATGGCCTGGATGAGAGGAGGTTTGATGAGAAAGTTTTTGTTTTTTTGCTTCAACACTATCGAAAGAAGAAGCGCTGCGTGTTCAACGCTTCAGTTCTGTTGAAATTATTACTTGAGCTTCTTGGGTAGAAACGCTCAACCTCAGTTCTATCACCACAGTCACACTGTCACTTCTGTAATGGTCACTATCTGGAGTAGGCATGGGTAAACTATGGCCCGGGGGGGGGCGGATGCGGCCCGTTCAGCTTTTTAACCCAGCCACCAAACTTTTCCAAATTATATAATTTATTTATATGTATATTATACTTCTGCCTTCCCCTGCAATACCCACGTTTCCCCAATAGATGGTGTAGAAAATGATAAAAGCATTTTAGCATTTTAGCCCTTATGCTTTGCCCAGTTTCATGGGGATCTTACATTCATATCGAATTTTATGTTTGAACACTGATTAATTCTTGATAGATCTCAGTTTCATATTTAACAAAAGAGGACATGGAAAATTGATGGGTGTCCTATTGACAATATGGGGGAGTGGACTGCGTCCCACTTTCATAGCGTTTAGATGTAGAGAATTTTTGTCACCTTCTGCTGTGGCTTCTATGTGGCCAGCACTGCAGTATATAGTGCTGCCTGGTTAACCCACAGGCACAGCATTTACGCTGCAGCGGGATGAAGGCAGAGCTGAGCTAAAGGATGTGGTGGATTAACATTCACACACACACACATGTACTCATGCATACGTCCTAGAACAATGAGGCCTTAAAGATGAGTCAGTGTGAAACTTAACCCACAGGAAGGGCCCATATGAATCAACAAAGAAACAGAACTGTGTTAAACACAGTTTAAACATAAGAGAAATAATAAGAGATAATGTGCCTTTGTTATAATTTTATTACAAAGTTTTGTTTGAATTGTTTCACGCATGCAGGTCAAACCACTTTAATTAAAATATGTTGAAAGTAAGAGGGCTTCAACTTGGGTTGGACCAACCTCAGTGAGCACAGGGCAGTAAGTAAGTCTAAGGCTGACAAGCTGGCATTGTGAAATTAACTGTGAGAGACTGTAGATTATTTAATACTGTTGAAGACAAGGGGTTTTAAAAGAAACTCTCAACGCTTTCCACAAGCCCCCAAGATGCACCGTAATGATTTGCTTTAACGATTGAGAGGGTTTTTTTTTGCCCATCATTTGGATTATTCACACATAAAAACAAGAGAAACACATTGTATCTATCTTTGTTATCTGTTCCAGCAAAAATGCCATATGAATTTAAGAATGTCGTTTCATCTTGATTACTCATGAATAATCGTGTTAAATGAAGACAATCATGATTAATTGTGATTAATCCACAGCTACCCTATGATTAACAACATTCAAATTTGCAATCATTTGATAGCATCACTTTAATTAATGCTCAATAATGTGACATGCTAATAGAAAACTTATTGCACATCACATGATTTCTACTTAATGACTACTGGGATTGGTTCTAGCCTGTCCCTAAACAACACCCGATGAATGGCTTGGTGACATCTCCTTACCTTGCATCTCCATCCATTTGTGGGAAGAGTGTCTATGGCCGGTTGTAGACAAAAGGTATGGTAGCCTTTGTCACACATGTCACATACCAGCATTTTAGTGTCCTCTCCTGGATTCCTGTGAGAAAGAGATGTAATGAAATCACGAAGACTATACCAATATATCAAAGAATAAACTTACTTTATACAACTTTATTCACAATATTTTAATGGAAACAAAGCTGCACCATGTATAAGCCACACCGCAGTGTACTTTGCACATTGTTTTTCAACACATACATACGTACATAAAAAATAAAGACTTGTAGCAACATGCAGGTGAAGACAACAGCGACAACATTAGGGAAACATCACATGAGCCTCTCATGTTTTTTTTTTCGAGTTACATGACTGGTTAAAATGGCTACATGGTTTGGAAAAATAAAACAAAAAACTAAATTTATGTGAAAAGGTTAGTGATTTAAAATAAAAATCTCACTCAAGCAGTAATGTCAATATGTTAAAAGATTAGTCAACAGATAACAGTAGTTCAGGGCTTGTAGCTGTGCGTCATTATGTGGGGGTGCTGTTTTTCTAATTGCAGGTTTAGGAGTGAGTAATACTGAGAAACTGGTTGGAAAAAATGAGCACTAAGCTGTAAACACACAAATCTAACACTAACGTTTTTTTAAAAAAACCTATGAATACAATCAGATTTAATACATTAGTACATATAATAAATATAATGCTCATGGATACTAAAAAACATGAATTCTACGTGCAGTGGGGTCAGAGGTCAAAATATTATGGTAATAATTTTGCACTAGTAAATTTCAGAAGTAGAAACTAGTATTGAAGTCCACGCTTTGGCAGAACAAACAGTAAAAAGAACTGGGATGTATTCATATGCTTTGCATCAGAAGTTTACATTTCAACTTACTTGCATGTCTGGCAGATCTTGCACTCAGGGCACTGCCAACCTGCCCTTCTTAGAGGGGTCACAGCCATTTCCAGGCACATTCCATGGTAATGCTGACCACAACTGGTACAGAAGAGCTGGTCCAGTAAATCGCCTGGACTATCGCATAGTGCGCAGTTTACATCATCTGCAACTAAAGAGTGAGAAATTAGATATAGATGTTATTCGTGTCATTTATATTATTCTTCATGTATTTACCAAGAGGTTTATAAAAATGGTTACCACACAAAAACTCACATTTGTTAATGGCCAATTCTATGTGTTCTGGGCAGTAGAGAGAGAGACTCCTGAAATCCTGAAATGTCCCAGCTGCCCCTGCACAGGGGTAATGGTAAAGTTGAGCACATCCTTTAGCACAGCACTTAATGGATGCTCCAAGGCGCTTACAGTATGCACAGTGCTGCGAAAAGAAAAACATCCCACCATAAGTTGCAGATTCTTTAGTGCTCAAAAGAAAGTTAAGAAACAATTCAAGCAATTTCATAGTTAACCTTTTCGATATGCATCTAAGACTGCAAGCACATGTAACCCCATAGTAATGTTAAATTAAAAATAAAGATTAGGAAACATATTTTGTTTCTATGTTGGTAAAAACATATTTTTATCAACATAGAAACGCAATGTCCAGACTGGTCAAAGATGAATCGATGTTATCCAGAAAATAAGAATTCGAAACAGTTTAAGCAGTGTATGAGGATAAACAGAACTGAACTGAACACCCACAAATGCATTGTAGAGGTCAAGGCGCAGAGAGAAATTCAGCTTGAGTGTGACCACAAAGTAAAAGACAAATGTGGATCACATTTTCAAAGCCACATAAAACATGTGATTCTGTTTTTGAGAAATGAGTCACTGAAATGTGCACAACGCTCTGGTTTGACTCTAATGAAGTGCGTAAAAAAACAGTCCAGCATGAAACCATTACACACAACTGTGGCTATTTACCACACAAGTGATACTGATTTATTTTGTTTACGTAACTGAAATAATTTCTCAATTATTATTATTATTATTACACATTAAAAAAAACATCCTAACTCAAAAGAAGACTCAAAGAACTTTAAGGACGCTAAATCGTAAAACATTAGGTACTATAACATTTATTTACAGTTAAACATAAAGCCACTCTGATGAAATTAAGAAGAGATGATGATGACGATACGATCACTGGGAGGTAAATGCAAATAGAGGACCGTGCGATGTAACGACTAACACTAGGAGCTAATCTGCCATGAGAGCTCAGCCCTTTTGAGTGGCATGACCTTTTCCATTTCACAGCTGAGAGATTCAGGCTGCCACGTCGACCTTTAGCAGCCATTCTGATCCATTGGCCGCTGTGCCTTATTGGAGCGGACCCTCCCTTCCTGCCCCGACACATTAAAGATGGTGTTAACACCAATTAGTTTACCGATGCGCTCCTCTGACTTACCTTTGTGCTCCCTGAGTCAATGGCTCTATCCACATTAAGCAGAGATTGTCCCTCGCCCTTACAAACACCTTCAGACCACAAGGCACAGCTCTGATGTGCCCAGCACTGCCCTGAATAATCAGATGAGACGATGAGAGTGAGAATTGAATACTTACAGAGAAAATCACTGTTCTGAGTGATTAAATAAATCTATAATAAATTGGTCATTCTTACCGGACTCAAAGAGAGACTGGACCTTAGGATCTTGTGGAATACCAACGTGAGAAAGTTCATCCCAAAAGCGAGTGGCTGGATCTGATTCTTCTGCGCCGCTTTCAGACACACTGAAACAAAGGAAACTGGATCAGTATATGCTTTTATCAAAATTAAAAAAACAATAAAAAGCTTAGCTAAAGAACAGTCTGAATCAAATTAAAATTATATTCAAAAATAATCATTAAAGGAAGGAAAGTGAACTAGTTGTCATTGTGACACAGCGCACCACGAAATATGACCTCTGCTTTTAACCCATCACCAAAGTGAGCAGGGGAGCAGTGAGTGGGGACGGTGCCATGGTCAGAGCACCACAGTGGTGGCAGGTGGTGGACTGGAACCTGAAGGCTTCTGGACCCAAGTCCACTTCTTTAACCCCTAAGTCACCACTGCCCCACATGGTAAGGATGTGGGTTTTGCAAATGCAGACAGACGAAGATGAAGGATAAAGGATTATCATTATAAAGTGTATCATCAGAGAGAACGCAATGTTGATTTGTTTGTCTATAGGAGACAACGTGCAGAAAAATGAAACAAGAAATCAACATTACATTTCAGTCATGTATTGCTTATAACCAAAACTTGATCTCGTGACACACCATATTGCTTATAACCAAAACTTGATCTCGCCTTTGCCTATGTGTGACACACCCGAGGGCTGAACGCACAGACCAATCAAAATGCGTCAACAGAACAGCCACTGGTTGGCTTTGGCATGCTGCCAAACACACATTGCTCATTTTATTACACCAGCCGCATCTGACAGGTTCCAAAAGGAGAAAACAAATCAGAAATCTGACAAGAAGAGTCCAGTGAGGGTCCTTTGATAGAATAAACACACCCATGCACAAAAACACCTGACGTGGCAACATCACAGCCTCAAGACGGCTCTTTCAAGCCAAGGTAAAAATTGATTTCGCATCGAAAAGTATAGAATACAAAACCTGCTAACAAAGCGATCCCTTGCAGCATTGGTATCTATGTATGTAAATAGCTTCTCTCTGTGTGTATGAAACATATGTAACAGGTGTATAACACCATTATTAAGTATATAAGCATAAACAGATAATACTGTTGTGGAGTGCAAGACTGCTGTCACCTGGTTTACCCACGATTCTTACTGGTCTGTACTTCATTATTTGGTATTACTACAGTCACATCCCCTGGATATACTTTGGATATAACTTTTTACCCAGATATAAACATATAAACAATAACTTTACTGTGGTTGTCACAATACCATTTTTTAGAAACCAAAAAGAATATTAGTATATTAACTTGTGTGTTTGCTGTTACTGATACCAATTTTGGTTAGGCCAAAATTATCAACAACTATATCAAGATAATAATAATAATTTGAAGTTTATTGATGCCACACTTGTGTTGAGTTCTGCTGCAACAGGCTGCCCTATGGAGGAGTACCTGCCTTCCGAAGAAGCTGTACTAACTGCTACACCAAAAAAAAAACATATATATACATATATATACACTGCATATATATGTATTTATTCATAGACATACACAGAGAGAGAGACACACACACATATACTGTATATATATAAATATATATATATAGACACACACAAATATATTATTTTATTTTGTCAAATGGGATTTCATGAAACAACTGTTTGTACAGTCACTTATTCTCATTTATTTCTTCAAATGGTGGCTGAAATAAATCATTAAACACATTGTGACTTAATGCCTCACATTCATTTCCTACATGGAGACGTCACAGGTAAAACTGCCAGAGCAGCTGTCACTGATGGTCAGAATGTTTCTGATAACACTTTCGGCCGGCCTTCTTACTGTGTCTTTTCTCTCGGTCCTGAGCTGGTCTGAGCCGAGCCTTCTTCACCCTTCTGACCGAAACGTGCTTCAAGCTGAGACGTGGTGCTGAACACTTGCAGATCCCCTTGACCCAGCAAGCTGCGGCTCCCGCAGTAACAGAAGGCACAGAGACGCTCACTGAAACAAAGAAAGGCGGGTGGGCAGGGTTTAATAAATTATATATAGTGTACATAGTGCGACTTAAAACAGTGCCAGGCGTGTCACCAATAATTAAGATCTTCTTTGTCTGTCAGCCAGACGGTTTAGGCAGAAAGGATGCACAATCGTCATTTCATTTTTTTTTTTTAGGAAGAGTTAACATATACAACCATAAATAATTTAAAGCAGGGATTATTAACAATTCTGACCTGATGACAACAGCAGTGGAATCATAATTAAAACTGTGTTTAAGCAGGAGACAATGAGACAAAAAAACCCTAAAAAATTACAAGTAAAACAAAAGGTGTAGTATATAGTTTGAACATTTAAAGCAGTAAGTTAACCTTTTTAATAAGACCCCCTGAGATGCCAATAGACTTCCTTCTATCGCTAACATCAATAGCAGACAGGTCAGAAGACGGATTATAACCTTTAGCACCCTGGCACCTGGGAAGACTGTGCTGCTTCTAACAGCACATTTGTCAATTTCACTCCATTCATGCACACAATTAGGGAAATACATTACACAGAGTCACAGATAGGGCTAGTGTGTGTAATGGATTCAGTCATGAAGAATTATTTTTGATTTTATATTGGCTAAATACAGTTTGTTTTTTTACAGGACATGTAAAGGTTTGGGAAATATCCTTCACTGCTTCATCTGGACGGAAAATTCAATGCATTCATTTGGGGAATAAAAATGTCTGATAACATAAGTGACAAAAGTCCCATAAATTAAAATGGTTTACTATTAACAGCCTTCTGCCCACAGGAGAACTTTCATGTTTTTGTGTAACATGGAAAACTCTATATGTTCTTTTCAACTATTGCCTTCCAGTATTTTGTGTTTCTTACCTGCTTTTTGCTTCTCTACTTCCTGGAACAGAGGGTCTGGCTAAATTCTCAGCTGGAAGGCTCTGGGCCAAAGAGCAGGAAGGCTCATCTGTCTCTGGATCCTCCGTAGTCACAACTTCCACAGTCTCTGCTGGCAGGATTTCTGTGTATGAAGGTAGCAAAAACAAAAAGAAGTTAAAGCAGTCTTGCCAGCTTAAGGGCTCTTGCGTCACTCTGTATACCAATATATGCTTTTCATTGTTTTCTATTAATTCTTGATTTCTGTGAGAAAAAATATCAGCATCCAACCTAGTGAGTGACATATACTGTCATAGGCTGAGATGCTTACGTTCCCCTAAGTTCCCACACAGTCTTCAGCAGTGAAGCGGATGGTAAAATATATGCTAAAGCACTGATTACTCTGGGCCCATTGGGAACATTGGGCTCCTGTGCAGAATATCAATAATACCAGAGGCAGGGAAAATAACATGAATAATAGCTGAGAAAATCAATAAGTGGAGTTTAATATTAATGGTGGGAATTTTGCATGGATTACAAATGTTCCCAGTTCCGTTTGTGCGCTTTAATCCAGACTACAAAAAAGGCCAACTTCACTGTGCTTTAACACATAACACAACTCCCACAAGTACCTCCCAGTGAGACTTTGGGCTACGTTAAATTTTTATTAACATAATGTAATTAGGCCAAGACCAGAATCATTTATGCCGTCTAATGGAATTACGCAAGTGCAGTTTCAGCCTCATTATCACCTAATAAGCCGCTGTCTGAGATGTGACTGCTAAAAATTCAAGTTTCTTAACACAGTCAACATCAACACACGCGGCAGGTTCACCACTCAGGAACAGCCTCTTTCCATTTATCACAATTATTTGGCATAATGAAGCCTTTTGCACTTTTTTGCTAACTAATCATTATTGGTGTGCAGACTCCAATGTCCAGAAAAGGCTGCAACACAGACTCATCTATGTACACTGTGTTAGAAGCCAATCTTCTTCAAGCACTCTGCAGCCCATGTAACAACTATGTGTGAAATGCATTAACACTGTAGTGTCAGATGCAATTCAGCAATATATTTCTTCGAATTATTTATCTTGTGCTGAGAAAAAATGTAACTTACTTTAATTCCAAATTTTCAGAACAATCTGGTTAGCTATGAGCCACCCATACAGTAAATGCTAATCATAAATGTTCCAAGGCATATTACCCAGACATTTCACAGGAGACCTTCCAGAATTCTCCTTTATTGTCTTTTTAGATGTATTCCTAATGTATCCTTCTGAAAGGGGTTGCAGGACTCAAATTGAACTAAATAAAGAGTATTTTTCTAACAATTGGTGAGTGAAACCATGACAACATTTTAACATGTTTCTTCATGCTAATTGAACTCAACCCTTTTGGTTTTACAGTGCAATAAATTCTGGAGGTAGTTAACCGCTTGACTTGACTTGGAGTTCAGATTTCTTTAGAATGACCTTAGCTGGCAACATATCCAATATGTTCATTGGAGCATAGGGAAAAAACACATGCCTTAAAATAAATAAATTGTCTGTTGTTAGTCTAAAGAAAAACTCATACTGACAAAAAAGCTAACCTCAGGCAAAATTTCATTTCCCCTAATATCTCCAGCAACAGGACTCCCTGAGATGTATAAGAACGAGACATGGTCATGTGATGTGATGTACATGCATAAAAAAAAGCACAAATGGGTCTGGAGAGACTGATGGGATTTTAAAAAGCTTTTAGAGGGCATTAGCCTTGGGCTCTTTCCCACTGTACCTCAATGCCAATCTCAGGAGCAGGAGAAGAGATGGAAGCAGTAAGGAGAGGAAAAAAAATACTCACCCACTGCAGCTTCACAGCTCAAGCTAAACCCTTTCAATTATTGCACTGGAGTAGAAGCATGAGGTGCCAGGAAAAAGCTCTCATCTGTGCTTCTCCAAGTGCAGGGAAACTCTCCTGCCTTTGCTGAAATATGCTCTGAAGCACTACTAAATTACGAGTTTGAGTCTCGTGTCAGTTTCAGCAAAGCAAACGTGTACATGAGAGATAGAGAAGACTTTAAGCACTCACCTGTGTCCTGCGTACCCATGGGGTCCGTTATCTCACTCCCATCCATACTGTCCTCCTCATCTAGAACAACTCTTCCTCTGTTGCGACCCCTAGGATGAGGACAGGACACCGAAATATTAGCAGAGGTAAGACAAGAACAACTATAGGTGTACATCCCAGCAAAGGGGATGGGGAAGAGAACATTATGTAGTCATATATAGTCACAGTTGTCAGGGTTTTTTTTTCCCCATAGTCACACAACATCCACTAGGATGGCTAAGGTGGGAATGAACGGGAAATACATAGTTGTAAAAGATCTACTTTAAAGATACAGGGCCAGTCTAGGTTACAAAGTACCTTAACAGGCAAGAGTTGTTTTTCCTATAGTGTACCATAACAGCCAGCACTGCCAGTGATCTTAGTGCAGTATTATATCTCCAGTCATTACAATGAAAATGATTTTAGCTAATAAAGTGGAAACGGTGAAACTTGTTTATCACTGGTTTTGACTTGTTACCTGTACAAAAGGCCCAACATCAGCTGTTCCAACCATATAAATACATTGTGTGCCAACACCAACATCTGCAGTATGCACAGCTCTAGAGGAGGTAAGGTTAGATTTTTGGTGCCCGTGTAGAGAGGAATCACAGATGGCTTGGAGCCAAGTCAACTCCTCCCTCTAAATGACTTCCATGTCAAGATAAGGAGCAACTAAAACCCACAAATGACAGAAAAGTCTTCAAGATAAATCTTGAAGGCCAAAGATCAAACACAACAGATGAATTATAAATATTCCATAAAACATTTTCATATATTACTTCAACATCAAAATTGCAAATCTGTTTAACCCCAAATCACTTAACAGATTTTCCAAATAAAAAAAAATGAAATGCACACCCAGTTACCAAAAGTGAACCAATGCACAGAATAACAAACCATATGTATTTAAGTTTCAGTGGACAAAGTACTCCTATATGCATCATAGTATTTCAAGAAAAAAATCTCAAGAAAAACAAATCCAAAACTGTAAATTAGCTGTTACTGAAGATAAACACAGAACAGTCATGTGACATTTTCATTTGTGGCCACAATGACCTCTATGTCAATAAGCAAATTTGTGGTTACCTGTTAACATAGCTTGCTGGACATGAATAAACTGTCATTATGTAGAAATGTGGAAAAATTGAATTTTAGCTTAAAGATGATCCAATCATGTCACCGACACAACCATAACATGCTCAACTTATCCCCCCCTACAGTCCCACCAGAGGGACAGAGGAAAAAAAAGAAAAAAGGTGAAAATAATGCCATGGAAAGCAGTTCCAGCAGACAAACTGCTGCATGGAAAACCAGACACAGACTCTCATAGGCAAATGACGTGGACTGAGGAGCTGATGAAGTGTGAGCAAGTCAGTGATAACAACTGGGTCTATAAGAGAAACCTCCTAAACATACAAGTTATTTTGGTTCACAAGAGGCACTTGACTGAACGAATGTTGTAATGCAAGTTTTTCTTTACCATTAGTATTTAGGGATATGGCTTGGGTACTGAACAACAATGAAGAATGAAGGGGTAACAAATGTCATTCTGCAAAATAGCTCATCTCCAGTTAATAAAATGCGCAATTTCCACTTTGGATTGACTGAATACTCAAAACAATATGTGTACATTTTCAATCATAATTACCCAGCGAAACGTGTAGATTAATTTCAGAGCAAACGTTAATATTGACAATTTTAGTAAAGCAGAAAAAAGGCACAATATTAAAAAGTGACACCACCATATCAGCGACATAAATAACTTAAATAGTGCCTTATTTCTCTCTCAGGTCATTCGACTGATGTGGCAACACCACATAATCTGGATGCCTGCAGATTGAACGATCCATTGGGAGCAGGGTATTAAGATTGATTGAGAAGACAGACTAAGAAGAGTACAGGACCATGCAGCTGTGGGCTTCATGATACAGCATGTTGCTATGGGAGTCAAGGAGAAGGCAGACATTGCGCACAACACTGACAACAATGTAAGTGCAATACACCACTATAAGCCTTATAACCCTAAACCATTATAGTTACTTATTATATTGTGTAGGACATGTTCAACAATATGACATTCAATTATGAACGTAATGCTTTTTGGCAAATGTTTATATATAGTTATATCAGTTTAGGAGTTGTTAAATGTCTTAATAACATATAGATAAACATTAAAATGAAAATGAAAATTGGCCACTGCGCTAATCGCATCAAATAATTTTATAAATTGAATTAAAGTCCTAACATATTTTAACGGATTGGCAAAATGACTGCATGATCAATAAATCCTCTAGCTATCCACTTACCATTTTTCTAATACACAGGTGATGCACATTTTGTCATCTACGCAAACTGAGGAAAAGAGTTTTTGTTGTACTAAAGCACCCCAGGCTTGAAATACACAAGTCTTCGGCTGACAAACTGATAAACACAACTGTCAAATGGATAAAGCTAAAGCCTGTATGCCCTCTACATACTTAGGTACTACTGTGGTCACCGCAACAAGAAAAACGACGTTTTTGGTACAAATATTGTACTTCAAATAGACAACACCAACACTGTGACGTAAAAAGTATTTCCTAGAATTAAAACCTACTTCTTTCTGTTCTTAGGTGTGGATGAGGGTGGGGCTTGGGGTAGAATGGCAGCAGCATCCTTGCGCGGCCTGCCACGTGGTCGCTTGTCTGCGTTGACAGGACTTCCTGTGGATGTGGCCCCTACACTGCTGGAGGGCGGTGAGGGTCCCTGGTCAGAGGGCTCCACAGTTTTATCCTCTGATGACATTCTAAAATTAATGTTGAAAAAGATCAGATTATAACAAGATACTAAGAGTTTTGAAGGATCGGTGAGGAGTCTTGAGGAGGTGAGGATAATGTACTAGTTTAATCAAGGTAAAGATTTTTATGTAACGAACACTAATAACTGTAAAAAAAATCCAAAAAAGACCAACCCCCTGACTTTAGGGTACCAATTCATGGTGTAGCTACCTATAAAGACGAGCTCAATTATTTAGACAGACTTTTTCAATGCACGTGTGTAGAACTTCATTCTCTACTGCCTATCACATAATTAATATATCAGACCTGACTTTTTCTAAAACCTATTTGATTAAAAAAAATATGATAATAGTGTGAAAAAAGTATAACCAAAGCAATGACTATAAAAATGCTGCCAACATAAATTAGTGTATAAAAAATAAATTAATTCAATATAATTTAACAGCAATTGTAATTATTTGATTCAGCTTAAATATTTTACTGTGCTGGCTGTTCCCATGTACAGACAGAGGATGTTCCAAAGTTTTGGGCCAAAAAAACAGAAAAACACCCTCACCAGATGTTGATGTTTGCGTGTGTGTGTGCATGTGTCTCTGGCACATTCATAACAGCTACCACAGACTGTCTCTTTGGCGCATCTTATGCATCTGTTTGTCTTTGCATGGCAAAAATCTTTTCCACTTTTTCTGCCTCAGCAATAATCTGACTAATGAATCAGATTGTTTGTACCAACGATGTCTAATAATTGGTGTTGGTTTTTACACTACATTTCAACTTGTGCATCTGTGTCACTTTACACCAATGCATTCAACTGACGTGACATTTGCAACACTAACAATGTGCATGCCGCAGTGAAATAGATGCTGCATGTCTTTCACACAGTCCGTTTGTACAGTAGAGGTGGCATGAAGGGGGCGGAGGAGGGGCTGATTTCTGTCTATCCTACTAACTAATGACTGCGATAACATATAACATGAAAAATAATTACCCACAATTCACTCTTTTCAAACAGGGAATAACACTATGTCAGACTACATTGACACAAGTGACTTATGATGACTACACAGTGCATCTTTTTCTAAAATTACATGTCAAAGGCAAAATGAGCAATGGGTGCAGTTGACAGTACACAGATGGGTGGTGGGGTGGAGGTGACGGATAAGAAACTAGCATCTGCCAGAATTTTAGGCTTGTTTACCAAAACTAAATTGATGACAAATACTTAAAATTAAGTGAAACCACAAAGCTTATAACACAGAGTTATACCTACACCTACCCAAAATTAAGTTGAGGAACTGAAACTGTTCTGGTGTGAAAGGGTTTAGAAAATCAAGAACTGCTCAGCCGCTTAGCTGAAAGCAACAGAAAATGTTTTATCAGATGGCAAAGGTATTAATTCTTGGTTTTTTGGGGGGTTTGTTGGACCTGAACCAGTGTCTCTTTAAATATTATTATTTAAAACAAGAAAATACCAGTATACAATGAACAGGCTAATGACTAATTTAACTGAATTAAAACAATATTCTGTCCTGGAGGTATAAAACCAATTCTTTGTTCCACAACTTTAGAATATCAGAATTTCCGCTAGGATTTTTAAGGCAGTTGCGGTAGGTAACCCCAGCCCCCCAGAAGTATACTACGTAAACAAGTGTGAGCATCACTTTAGAAACCTACTAGCCTTTAGGAGCGAAGCAACATGAATTATATATTATTAAATAAAGAAGTGATTGAAAAATTGTAAAAAGACCTGGACATTACATATTACAACTCTAGTGTGTTTGGAGAATGAACATTGTTGACATTCATAATTTCTTATTTTATTGCCAGAAGACAGCCAACAGGATTGACAACCTTTTTCTGTGTGACAGCACAAAAGATGAATGATGCAAAAAAAATTGCAGCATTCTATAATGTGCTTCTTTGTCATCTATTGAAACAGTGGCTGTTTTCTCACTAAAGAACAAAAATGGACTATATAAGGTAGTGTTTTTGCGCAGTCCCAATTATATTTATATGTCGAGACGGTCGGGCCTGGGATCTCATTACATCTTAATGCAAATCTGTGTGGACTAGTTCTAATTGGGTGTATTTTCGGTATTGTGGTCATTTTGGCTTGGGCTGGTTTTCCTATGTTTTTTCAAAGCTCAGCTTATTTGGACTAAGGCTGGTGAGTGGGCTAAGCCCACCTAGTGTCTCCCTTTTCACAATCTAGAATAAGCGAATAAGTTACAGTCCTGAGTTACAGTATTTGGTCACCTGTTCAACAAAAAAAGAATTATATTAACATTTGTTGAAGTTCTTTTTTCCAGACTTATATGTTGATTTTGCCAAGCATTGCCAAGCCAGTTTTCATGTATGTACACCTTCATTACACACACACAATTAGTTCTGAATTATTCTAAACAAACCTATATTGACTCTGGCATTAATATGTGGCAAATGACAAATGTTATTCATTCACAAATGGTTGTCATGACTGATTTTAGTGATCTATACAATTATGATCACATTTGGGCAATGGGCAAAACATGACAGTATATTCAAGTAGCATTTATAGTTAGGAAGACAGTGGTTTCAATTGGCTACAATTCACAACTTGACAACATGTGGTGTTGTCAAAACGTCTGTATAACAAACCATGTCAAGAGTAATGATTTTGTTATGAGTTATGAAATGTTGTAAGACTGGTGGCCAATTACATGAATGACTGTACACAGAAATAAAATAAATCTTTCATTGAATATGTAGTAAAAAAGGATTTTAACTATTCTGCTATCCATGCACATATGTTTTTATGTCTGATTACCTCAGATGCTCACTTATTAGAGACTGCCTCTACAACTGTAGGTCTACAAACTAGAAAAATGTCATTCCTTGGCATTTTATGAGTACAATAATAAACTGAAAGGTGTATGGAGAAATTAAGAAATTATTTTAAAAAATTGGATTGCATTATGGAGGTGATCCTGTTGTAATCATTATCTGCTCTGGTTGCTAAACAGTGCTAATTTTCTTTTCTTAAAGATTTTATCAGACTTTTTTTTTTAATGTTCTCAGATCCAGGTTCCAGAACATAAGCAAGAGGCACTGCAATACGTGAAGGTACAGTTATATTTCCAGATTCAAAGCTGGGTCAATCTGCATTCAACTGAGTGAACAAGGGGTCGTGGTTTGTATTTGGTGAGTGGTGGTTAGTCACGACCACCATGAACACAACTGCTAACGTTAGCTTTTGTTAACTCAGGCTTGGGCACAAAGCAGTTGCACAGAAGCTAACGATAGCTGCTAGCCTCCTGTTGTTTAACTATCGCCTTTTCTTTGGCGAACACAACCGAAAGTACACCTGACATCACGTAGATTTGAAATAAAACCCAAAAAGAAAACAAATTCACATTATGCAGCTTGGCATGATTGTAGTTAAGTAGAATGGGCATTTTCCAGCAAACTTTGAAAAGGGGTTCACAGAGCAAACAGGTTACCTATGGTTGCAGTGAGTTGGGTAACACCTAGTTTATAACGCCAAACATTCGGAATACAGCCTTTAATGATCCAAATTAAACATGGTGTTATTGTTGATGACAAACTTTACTTGTTCGTTCTTAACCAAATAAGTGTTTCGCATCTGGTTAAGAGGAAACGATGCTTTGTGCCCACCACACAAAGGCTCGGTCTATTGAAAGAAACGAAACACTTCTGAGGAACTACAATGCTACTCGCAAAGTGAAAACGATACGCTGTAAAATGACGTAAGCGCACATATCCCCTTTTGATGCATAGTCACAGTAGATCTGTGCAGAATTCACGCAAAATATTCAAGAAATGACTTTAACATTACGATTTAGTCTCAACGTAATGTTCCCCTGGATATTTCTCTCCGTGAAATAGTCCGGGTCATGAAACGCCGAGGCGGAGACAAACCCCCATCCAACTGGAGGTGTATACTGATGGCTCAGCGTCACTTAGAAGAGGATGAATTGTAAACATATACAGCGAAACAATAATTCTTATTTGGGTTCTTACCTTCCAGCCCTATGAGTAGCGAATTATCCTCTTCATGTCCAAAATACTGGGAGATGAAACGTCGCACTTTTATCACCCTTGCCAACGAGCTAACACAGCTAGCTAGCCTCTCTCCAGTGAAGCAACGCCGCAGTTCTCACAAATGCACAACGCATATCATTATATTCCAACGCTGCAATGTTATTCCCAACTTTGCCCATTTGATGGAAAGACGACTCATGTAAATCCAGCAGAGAACAGCTTCACTTGCATTCGGTGAAGGAGGAGGAGGAGAAGAAGGGGGATCACTTTCCTTTCTCCAATGACAGCTGTCGTCGCACGAGTTGGGGCTTATAGAGCTAGTTGGTGTTAGCCACCCAAGTCTACGGCCAACAGTTTTACCATTAACTCACAAATATTAGATTCCAAAAAATCCTGGCGGTTGCACAGAAGTCGACACCACGTAGATGAAACTTCGGATGAAGATCCGCACAGCGGCGGCGCAGACCAAAGGCTGGGTGATGACCGCTTGGTTGGCAATTGGTTCTATTTTCTTCAGCTGCGACAAGCTGCGGGACCAAGCAGCGGCCAGTTAGGAGACTCTCTCAGCCAGCCTGCCACGCAGTAACAAACCCTGCCGATGCATGTAAAAACAACCACGAGCGCACCGACAAATTACATTCTGCCTGCCACAGTGGCAGAGCTGCAAAATTACTTTGCTACAATCATAAAAAATCAAGTTGAGGGCGACGTTTCAGCATACTCTGTAACGGTGGCCATATCTAATGATAAGTGGCACCGAAGCACACCCAGTGTAGGCTTCTCAGAAAATTAGACCCATCTACCTCTACTCGAACTACGGCGCAGAAGCGTCTCCTGAATCCACTCTCTTCGTCAAGCAAGGACGTTTTGTCAGTCGGAAAGATAGATGGCGAAATCGAGAAAAATCAGATATTAAAATACCACTAGGAAACCCATTTGATAATTTCTTCAAAATACTCTCTGACCCTGCGGAGGGATATGGGCATTTAGTAAATAAAATAATGGGCTGGAGAGCTTCAAGATGTGGAGCGTGGATTTCAGTGTGGCTGGAGGAGGATTCCTCAATAGTGGGGTTCTGGCTCATGGAAATCCACGACACTAGCAGCTGTACAGACCCAAGCTGTAAACACTCTATTGCAGGCCACGCAAATAGGCAAGCCAACAAATAACAAAATAAAGATATATCTAAAAAATCTACCTTGATGGCTCGGAACTCAACGGCTCCCATGCGTTCGAATTAAATGTCTCCACAGGTTACACCTCCAAATCACACTTCATTTTCTGCCCTTCCCCATCTGCCACATGCACACAAGTCGTTCAAAACTGTACATTTTTGTTCATATGCAAAAGCTGTATACTGGTAGGCATTCGTTCTGCACACGCAGGGGTTAATTTTCGGAAAAGCCCCCCCTGGGTAGGCGTCCTGTGGCTGCATATAATATGTTGTAGACACAGTGATTGTCACGTACATATGTGTATTCTCTTTCTTAAAGTCATTTTCCCGAGGGCTTTCAGAGTTTTGCTCGAGCGACATCCTTAGAAAATAAACGCAAAACATAAACAAAGCTCTATTCCTTTAAATTCTAAACCCGGTGAACCTAAGGTACCACTTTCCTAGAGTGTGAGCTCCCCCTGCTGGCAAATATAACACATGTCATGCAAAATGCATTAGTGTTTTTGTCTTCAAGTTTTCTGTTTCGGCTATAGATATTTATGAAATACTAACCCTAACCCTAACATTTTACGAGTGCAGCCTATATAAATCTGGGTATGAATTACTTCAGAATAAGCACTTGTTACATTTAATCAAAACATGTTACTGGTTTGTTTTTGATGTTACACTTGAATTCTCTTATCTTAAATAAAGAAATGAATCGTTACACATGGATGTGTTAATGTAGTGGGGCTCGACAATAGTTTGGAAACTACTGCTGTAGGGCATGACTCCTAACCATTTATCCACTGTGTGACCCAATAACAGTATTGTTTTGTATTTCCCATGATTTGATTAATTAAATGTACATTTGATATCCTGTCTGCAAGAGTTCTTTAATCTCTTGAGGAAAATAACATCTTCATTGAGCCTTAGGCACAAAATGATGATAATAATAATAATAATAATAATAGGAACAAAAGAAAGCAGCGAAAAGGACCTGATGTATGCCTGAACTTGAATACGTGAATAACAATTTTATGGTTTAATGCAGTACTTCTCAAATAGTGCCCCCCCCCCCCCCCCCCCCCGGGGGGCAAAGTGACGTACCAAGCTGAAGGGGGAGCGGGGTCGTGAGGGGCTTCCAATGGAATATGGTACGGTGGACAAAAGTGTACCACTGCTGTAATGCTTGAATGATAACAACTCCAGTCACTAGGTGGCAGCAACACATACAGTGGTTTGTACAGATAAAAATATACATGTTATCAGGTACTCAATAGTATTTCAATTCGCGGGGTTGTGGGTCGAGGGGGCGTGGGGCGTGAAAATATTTCTGTCCCTGAGGGGGGGGGCATGACAGAAAATAATTGCGAACCACTGGTTTAATGACTTGAAAAAATATATATGTTGGTTAACTGTGTCCAGTAGACTGAAAGAGATTATGTCAATATGGAATAAAGTTCTGCTGACCTCTAATTAATGGTGCAGTCAAGCGGTATTACAGTATTTCTAAACACTGAAATGACCACTGAAACAAGGTACAAGCGATGTAAGAAGCCCCTGATATATCTGTAGAAATGGTCTTAGTGTCTGCACAATTAATGAAATCTGAGAGGCAATAAAAGCTGTTAACGCCTGCAGTGAGACAAGCAAAAAAAAAAAAAAAAAAAAAAATTGATTTAGAATGTCATTACAAAAATGTGAAGCAGCAACTTTCCCTGTCTGAAAAGAATGACACTTGCATAAAGCTGCCTATGATAGGTATAATTAAGTCATCCATCAGAACTGGATGAATGAACCACAGCTCCAACGTTAATTACTGTACACCGGAGTGCGGCGTCCAATTCTCGGTCAGTAGAGCTGTCTGATGTCATTGAGTTGGAAAATATGTAGTGTGAAAAGAGTCACTTTCTAAATTGTGCCCTATGAAGCAGTGTAGATTTACACAAGTAACAGCCATTGACCTAATTACCCCCGACACACAGAGGTGCAGTTAGGAGGTGTATCAGTGTTGCTCCCTGGACTTAAATGTGGCACATGCTGTACAGAGACTGTGTAGACAAGAAACAACACAACATAAAGACATTGTTTTGATAGATGTGTGTGAACTCAATATTTAAAATATATACAAGATGCTTCAATATAGTCAAACCTAATCGATTTATTTATAGTCTTGGGAAATACCATTGGTGGAAGATCAAATTAAAGATTGAGTTGCATTTTGGTATATTCTAGGCAGATGGCAGCATGGCTCTGTGGTAGTACTACTGCTGTATCTCTCCACTCACCTCCCTCTTGTTAACCTGCTGACCTTCATTCCTTTCTATGTACTGTATGGTTATACAGCCCTGTCCCTTCTTTAATGTATAGCAAGACACACTGAGGCGTTCAATGGAGTTATGCTATAGAAGCTCTTTTCTGGTTGAAGAGCACATTTGTTGGCATTTAGAGGCAAAGAACTGCTGTTGTTAGATACAGGGATGAGAAGCAGCTGTTCAGACAGCAGCAGAAGAACAGGACAAACAGAAGAGAGGTGAGCAGAAGGATCATATTAAAATAATAGGAGAGAGAAGAAACCTGAAACCAGACACTGACTGGGCTTTTTATCTGCCGAAGGACAGGTATTGTTAAATTCACCTCAGTGCAGTGCAGGATTGTTATGGTACAGAATTACAGGCAGATCAGGCATTGTATATTTTTGAAATTATAATCAGTAAGTTCAGCTGGAAATACTAAAAAAGCATCATGATATAATGCAGGATATTCAATTGTTCATAGTTAACTCAGGATTAGTTAACAATATTTACAGACACTTTAATTTATAAACATGTTATTAGTCCCTTCATATGCACTATTTCACACAGTTTACATTATATACCAGTACATTAGTATTATTAGTAGCAATATATTGGTATATATGAGTGCAGTATATATTTCAGTTGTGTTTTTAACACCTCTGCAGTGTATATCATGCTTTATACTTTTAAGTCTGTATTTTAAGAGAATTCCCTTTTTAATCTGACACACTGTTGATCTCCTGTGTTGTTCATGTTCTTGTGTGTTATTTTAAAACATTTCTTTTAAAATCTATTCTATTTTATTCTATCAATCATTAATTAAGAATATTCATTTTCAGTTTACCTCTGATTTAAAGTACAAATAAGTTCATTTAATGTCTATTCTAAAAGCTAAAGGAATTAGCAGTGTTTTCTTATATTTTCTTTTCTTATATTACGACTAGTATATTTTCTTTTTCCACTCCAGAAGGAGAAGTAATGAGAAGTGGGTGTTATGAAAGAAGTGTCCATGCTGTGATACCTGGAACCAAGAAGCTCACGTCTAAGGTGCCATAAAAAAAAATTAACAGGTTCAGGCTCACATTTCTTTGAGTCTCTTTCTTTTTCTCTTTGTCTGGAGCCTGCGGCAGAGTGTGGCAGATGTGCTGAGAGGTTTTCTGATGCAAGGCCACGAGTGCAGCAATGAAAAGGACATCACATCAGTATTAAAGTCAAAGTTACATTTTCGAGATGCTTTTTACAACAGCTCTGGAGAGACAGGGCAGAGAGATTTGCCGAACTGACCAATCACATTCAACTCAACGGTGAGAAGATCATCAGCTCTATTACTGGTCTTTCTTTATGGAGATTGCATTTTGTCATATTTATAAATGTGAGCGTGAAATGTGAGTCTCTTTATGTGTCGTTCTATGCCCTCTGACAAACTGGTGTAGCGTCCAGGGCGAAACCCACCCTTTTGTGATAAGTTGCCCACCCCCGTGACTTTAAAAAGTTTTACGTGATGACGGATGGAAAAAAACATTGGAGAACCTGGAGGAAATCCACACACACACAGGGAACAGAAAAGACCATCAAGTACCACTGGGGAATCAACTCCTGCTGTAGGGCAAGCGTTCTAACCACTCTCCCACCACGTAACCCTCTTCACCAAGATAAATTGGAAGAAATCCTAGCATTTGGAATAGAAGGCAGTTTCAGTTTGGCTCCAGGCTCAGTTCCACCACGTTTGCAGCAGGGGAGTGGGGGTCTGTTGGAAAAAGTTAGGAAAACAAATTCTGGGTCTCTATAACACTTCCTTATCAATGAGGACCTACTGTAACTGTCCTTTTATGACTCTGTGCAACCCCTGCACCCTCTCCCCTTCTTCTCACCAAAAAAGCAAAAGCCAGTGTTAAAATATTGCCATAAGCTGCTCCAAAGAAGTAAGTACAGCTGTCCCAACCATCATCTACTGGAGGCATTAGGAGTCTGATTGGACCTAAATCCGTCAAACGACAAAGTTTGCACTAAGAGTCAGTTCTGTAAACTCTGTACTTGGAGAAAATGCCTCTGGAGGCCGTCCATTCATTTCAACTGCAATGATAAGTTCCCCAGAATTCCACAATAAGTTATTAACCAACCATTTTTATATATTTATCCAATTATTTTTAATCAGACCTTTGTGGAATAAACTCCTCTAATATTAATATTTTCTTTGCTCCTCAGTGACTTTTAAAAGTTATTATTTGGTTTAAGGACAAAAAATTTATTCATAATATTAAAAACACAACAAAACAAAGTATTTCCTTCCTATTTTTGCATTTTATCTTTTAATTGGCTAATTCCAGGGAAACATGGTCTGATCTCCAAAAAAGTAATAACCAAAGTTACAAAACTCAAGTGGTTTTTAAATAATAATAGGTGACACATTAAAGGAGTGACCAGTACCTGCTGGGTTTTTTTCATTTCAGTATTTCTCCACAGCGGGATCTCTTTGCAGCCTCCTTGACCAATTACCCTCCATCTTTGGCAGTTTTAAAAGACATCCTGTTCTTGTGATGTCACTGCCGTGCTCCGACATCTCCACCTCATAATGGCTTGATTTAAAGTGCTGATTACCTTGGAAATGTGTTCGTGAGGGAATCCTTTAAATGCTTTTTGGGTGAAATATTTGCATATTTAGGCTTTACCTCTGCAACTCAGTCAATGGTACAGCTGAACTGTATTTGGATCCAGTCACTTTTTAAAAAAAAAATTAGAGAGCCTGCTTACTTGTTCAAGTGTATTATTTTGGTCAGATAAATCATTCAAATGTCTACATTATACATTTTAATAAAGTTGGAAAGAGTTTTGAAATGAAATAACGTTCTGTCACCAAAACTAAAAACACACAATTTATCTTCTGCTTAGTGAAAAAAAGTCATCCCTTCCCCGTCCTTTTCTGTCACACGATGTCTGTTTTATTATAGGTCTCTGTCTTTACTGAAACATACATGCAGCGTAATGACATTAAACCCTTGTGAAATTCTCCTGTAGAAAGACTGAAGGTCCCGTACATGCAGACACACTCCCGAGGCCTTATTAAACCAAGGTTAAATCATGTCTGCTCTTTCACACAAGGGTCCTCGCGCAGAGTTTTCTAACATCCTTGATTCTCTGCTGTACTTGAACTCC